ATCTGCCAGAATTACGACATCATCCGCGTACATTAAAGATTGTCACACGTGAGCGTGGCGATCATTGCCTATTCTAACCCCTGAACAAGCAGCACGCGCAGCTGCGGCGAGACCATTGAAAAAATGTCAAACAATAAAGGGCCAAGGACACTCCCTGGCCGCACGCCCGCAGTTTTCCGTTTGAGGTGAACATGCGGAGCCACAAAACCACCGCGCGCGCTGCTGTGCCAGCGAAAGGGTCTGCAATGACAGACCACGCAAAACCGGGCAACCCCCATTTCAGCAAATTTTCAGCAAGACTCCATCCCGCCACGCGATGTCGAACGCTTTCCGCACATCACCACGCAACCTCCGGGTTTCGGCCAATATCTACATGTGTTCTTCTGCCCCAAGGAAAGCTGGCCTGACTTTCATCCAGTTCGGGCTCAAAGCGGGAAGGGGATGTGCCAAAAGTTAGCGCTCAAAAATCGTGAGGCTGCAGCACATGAGGCTCATGGGGCGATAATTGGCAGTGCCGGTTTTGTGCAGCGCACACACACGGGCAGAGCGCCAAATAGTGAGAACTATCGCCCAACGACGCAACAACAACTCGAAAAAGGCCAACAGAGCCGCCGCCAGATTAACGTCCGGAACCGAAAACAATTCGTAAGGCAAACCGTCTGGGCCTGGGGCTCGATGCGACGGAAGCTGAGAGAACACATGTTGCATCATGTTGCAATTCCGCAGCAGCGAAAACAAAATCCAGAGGGCCAACTGTGGAAGTCCCCAGGTTCGGGAGGTATAAGCAAGGCATTGTGCCAATTTTGCACATGACGGTGCGGCTGGCTCACCACAGTGGACGGTACATCGCGGAAATGGCCACGCCATGTATTGAGCTTTCCTTTGGGGGGATCTCGTAGGCTGGGATCGCGACCGCTCCAACGAGCATCAACTGCGTGACATGATTCGAGCGTCGTGCTGCGATTTTGGGCTTCGCATTGCCAATGCGCGGGGCGTTCCCACGCACAAGTCAAGTTCGTGCATCGACATTGTGTTGGCCTCGCACTCGCTGATTGTTGAGGAATTGGTCGTACATGATGTGGATACCTGTAGCTGTCCACCAGACTCGATGTCACCCCATCATGGGGGGGCGACCACAAACTTGTCACTGTCAAAGTTGCCACCTCACCGTCAGCCGAGGATGTGGGAGACATCCACGAAGCCCCCCGCCATCGCCCCAATGCAAATCTCGTAATCGTTGGTGACTGCAATGTGCATATGGCCGAGCTCATTGAACGCGGCAGGCCGCCCCTGTTAGGGGCCAGCTGCGCGCGTACATAACGTGCAGCCGCGCGCGGGTTGGAGCGAGACAGGGTTTCCGGCATATTTAGCCAGGAGGACCAGAGAACGGTTTTTTTTTTGTGTTTGCGACGAGCAAAGTGATGGAATTGCAACCATTTTCGAGAAAACACTTCATGCTCATTTGTTGTGTGCTCACAGCGCCATCCTCGCCAGGCCGCATTGCGGGAAACGAGCTGCTGGTAGCACCCGTCATGCCACAAGTCCGGCTGCGGACGCTGGTTGCCAACCGGGCAGCGCGAGGTAATTGGCCCAGCAGCTTGCCAATCCATAGTCACAAATTCGGCATACAAAACATCAAGTGCAGCACTCCGTTCTTCAAGGGCGGGGGACTGACCCTGGCAAAGCCCCACAAGTTTTTGTGCCCGTTGCACGACCTGTGGCTGCAAGTGACGGATAACTGGGGCCGTGGCGCACGCGTGGCCAAGGTACGTCTCCCAAAGTGAAGCGCGAAGCTGCTCCCAAAATTCAATACTTTGGCGCAATGGCACACCTACATGCGGCGCACAGAAGCTGCACAGCAGCGGGTGCCCCCCAAGTACGCAAGCTGCGGAGTCAATAGCCTTGTTCTTGTGCGTGCAGGGTTTTGAAGCGCCTTCTGTGGCCGCACTTCTTCCAGAAATGGCAAGGGCGCCGGCAAATGCAAAGGAGTTTTGCAAGTGGGGCGGCTTGGCTTGGAAAAACGTGCGCTCGAGAAACTTTTTGCATCACAAGGAAGGGGCCTCCCGGGGTCGCGATCCTTGTAGCTGTCGTCACTGTTGGACTTTCGTGCTGTTCATACCTCAGGCACCTGGGGCCATAGCTCTAGTTAGCCTGTACCGTGAGCTGGCACTACGTCCCAGAAACTTCCAGATAGGCTTGTGTAAGAATGATTGCCCAGCTTGGGCTGCCCTCGCTGACAATGTGCTTGCGCCCGACTCTGCGGGGGAAACCCGGCCCGGTGACTGGCCACACGTTTGGCAGTTTCATGCGTCGCATACTTGAACCAACTACTTGCGCGACCGCGTGTGGCTGCCAAGCTTGCGGCCGTGCCTGCGGACAAAGCCACCACGCTCCTACCCGAAATGATGCAAATTGCATTGCGACTCTGCGCCTGCGCTTGCCGAAGAAGGCCACGGCTGCGGACGTCAGCTCGACGTTTGGGGGATCATGCCCTTGCATGCCCGCGCAGTGGCTGCTTGGCAAGGCGGGCCAAAGTGGTCGAACGGGCGTGGATTGCCGTGTGTCGTGAAGCCGTGGGGCCGCAGGGGCACGTCGTCCCTGAACACTGGCTGACGCACACCGATGCCCCGGGCGTGGCATCCGACCGCCGGCGCCTCGAGCCCATGGTCTATGGTGCCTCCCCGCAAGGCTTCGCGCTGTGCTGCGACGCCACGCTCGCTAGCCCCATCACAATCGTGGGCGCGTCACATCCCATGGCAGACCACACCGTCGGGGTTGCACTTCAGCCGGTCGTGAGGCGCACACATGCCACCCCAAACCGGACATGGACAGGACCACCAGAACCACAGGACCACAGCGGGGGGTCACAGCACAGCAATAAGTACCACAAGGTGAAGCTTTGAGTTTTCTGCCTGTGCAGTCACATGTCCAACCACCAACGCATCCTTTGGGTAGCACAGAGACATTTGACCAGCCATATCGGTATGATGGTCCTTCTGATGTTGGCGGGTGTGAAGCCAGGTTTCTTGTCAGTACTTGCTCCAATTCATGGCCGCTGAATATTGTTCCATGTTTTCAGCGAATTCGATGGCGCGACATCGGGCTGAAACGGGCCGAGGGCACACAATGTGTCCACCCAGGAGGCCCAGCGGAGCTGAAATTTTACTGCCATTAACCAAATTGGTTGTTGGCCCCTTCTGGCGGCTGCCGAAATGGTGTGTCCGGTCGGGCTCTATGGCCGCTTGGCTAGCAGCTCGCCCAGCGGGACCTTGGCGCCATTGCCCCCCTCTTCAGGTGAGGCCCTTACAAACTCGTGTTCGGTCCTGCCTGCGGGGCCGCCGCAAAGAAGTCGCTGTGCCTGGGACGAACCGTCACCCGACTTCAGGCTAAAACACGACATGGCGGGGTGTTTGCCCGTGCGTGCCGGCACAAAGAATTTTAGACAAGATACAAAACAGGCAACATGTGAAGCATGCACACCATTACACAGTGAACGGCAACCAACCCAGGATCAGGGATCAACGCACGTGTCCCGAATGTTAGCCTTGGTTTCTGGCGATTCCCTCTCGAATCCCTCTATGGCAAGCCTTCTCCTTGTCGCCTTCCATCCCAATCGACTCTTATCTTTTCTGTTCCGGCCTTCCTGTTCTGATGCGTTTGACACCGGGCCATTCTGTTGCGCCAGCTTGCGAGTCGCCTGCAGGCGGCTGGGGTAGCTGGGGTTCTGCCATGCCCGTCTTAGCCTTCGCCCGGGCTTGCTTTGGGGTTGCAGGCCTGCGTTGGCCCCAGACCCCAACCTGCCTGTAGGCTTTGCAGCTTTTCGTATCCAGTTGCAATCCTTCGGTCGGCTCTGGGGGGCGAATGCGCCAGGCGTCGTCCTGCAAACGGCATTCCTGCTGCCAAATCACTCCGTCCCTCAGATCAAATCTCCCGCAATTGCTTGGTCAAGGGCCCACGATTCCCCAGCCCTCGCGACACATCGCTGTGGTCCTGATGTTCTTAGGTGGGATCAGCGAGTCCTTGTCTTATGGCCGGCCAATCTGGCCGTGCAAACACAATAATTATTCTTGTGGAAAATGGCAAGAAAGGTGAGGGTTGCGTGCCACAGGGCGATGCAGGTACCCGGGCCACGCTTCTTCCAAGTGACGACGTCTGGGCAGTCTTGGATGACACATACATCACGTGCCAAGTCGAACGAATCGTCCCGACATAACGTGCGATGCGCACGGCATTGGCGGAACAAGCCAACACAGCCTGCATCTCGGCAAGGCCAAGGTCTGAAGACCTGGGTTTGGAAAGCCGCAAGCATGGCGGATCATGGCGGGTGGTTGGCAGGTGTGCCGCCTTCCCACCTGGCCGCCCAATGTGGGCTGGCGATCAATCCTTGCCGTTGCGGGAGCAAAGCATAGCAGCGCTTGGGACACCATGGGGGAGCGATGCCTTTGTCGACACGTTCTTGTAACAAAAGGTGGCGGCCCATGCCTGCCGGTGTCCCGGATGCTAGCAATCCTGGATTTGAAATCGGAACGGCTTTTGTTGCTAATGTGCACAGCTCCTTGATGCCAGAGCTTACTGTGCGCGTTGCCACCTTCCGCCATGGCGGCCTCTGGGGATGACAGGGTCCTGCGGGATTTGTGGGCCAGTGACGAGCGCCCGGCTATGGATGCCTCCACCACCAAGCGAGTGCAGTTGCCCCTGTGCTTTGGCGGTTGGCTTACGGTTGCTGAAGCAAGTCGCGTAGCGGCCTCTTGTTCAGACGTTCTCCCCACGCGCCGGCCTCATCCGAGCTGCAATGATGCCGGGTTGTGAAGCCCCGATATGGCAACAACTGAGGTGAGGGATGGCAACGCTCCCCCACGGCATGCTTGGACGCATTGACATGGCCTCATGCGTACGCTGTAGTCCCAGACTGGCCCCGGCGGGTCGCAGGCGATCGTAGCACTCCCGAAATCGCCGGAGTTTTGCCTGCCTTCTGCATGCAGGCGTGCCCTTCTGCTGCGGCAGTTGCGAATGCCAGTTCGGCATCTTCTGCATGCGCCCCGGCGTTGCCGATGCGGGGTTACTTGGATGTGCTCGTGGATCACCCTGCGGCATGCTTCATCGCACCAGAGTGTGCGATGACCTACTCCAAAACACTCAACAAGGTTCAAAAACTTGATGCGTGGCGCGATTGGAGTGTATCTGTCACGCAAGATCAAATCGTTGGTCCACAGCGCACGCGCAGCTGTAAAGAAATGCAGTTCCGTGTATGTTTTTGATCCCCGGACAGGGATACACAAGATCCCAAGCGTTTTCACGTACGAACGACTCACTTTGGGCTTTCAAATCCAACCGGTGCCTGAGCTTGCGTCGTAAGCCGTTTGGTCTTCGACACATTCAGGATGAGGCAGACATTTTGCAGGTCATCAACCAACGATCACAACATGCGCATGGTGAAGCCGCAAACAACAAAATGTCGTGCAAGACTGGGGGGGGTGCACAGGCCGGTGTAGATACAGCCTTGGTCAGTCCACTACAATGGGACGAGCTGCCATACAACCTTCTTTCAACCTGGGTAGACTGTTTCGGGCTGCGGAAAACTGTTATGTTGATTTTTTGCGGTGCTTAAACAATGCAAAGCTGAGCCTGGTCGATGACCCACCGTGCCACGATACACGGCATTTGCAAGCCGAAAAGCAATTGTGATGATTGTGCAAAGCCAAGGGGACATCCAATTTTTGTGTTCCCAAATACCCGTGCTTGCAGATGGCTCACGCGGTTGGCCGGAAGAAACAGCTGACGCACAAGGAGGAGGGCTGCAGGGTCTAGATGCGACTCAAGGCAGGAGGGGAGAGTTGCGAAAACATGTTTCGCAAACGGCCCGGTCTGGGATTGAAACATGGTCAGGGGTGCAGCATCACATGCTTGGGAAAGTCAGCCGCTTCGTTGAAAGGAGCTGCCAGCCATGCGGGTGCACATGTCGGCTGACAGGATGATAAACGAGAACCATGGCAGGCCATCGCTGAAGGCACGGTCCCAGCCAGCAGTTGCAAGAAGAGAAGCGGCCCATGAGGCGAAGCACGCAGTGGGGGCATGGGCACTTACACTTCGCAAGCTGAGCTGTCATGCCAAAGTACAAGTAGCAAGCGGGCGACAAAGCCAGGCGACGTGGAGTCCAGCGAAGCCTCGACAGGCAAAAGCTTGGCAAAGCAGTGGAGCATGTTGCGGTCGTGCTCAGATGCGTGGGGGCAGGCAGGAGAACCCGCAAGACGTACAGTGCACAGGAGCATGCACAATACCGCACCAACAGTCAAGCAATCTAAAGATTGGGGATCGTGAGGAGGAGCTCGAGGATGGAAAAGGGGTTTTGCGGCCGCCTGGAACCCCGACGTCCGTCCATCAGGCCCCAGCCGACTGCCCCTGCGCTGAGCACGGCGCTGGGCCCCAGACAGGGGTCTAATACGGCGCAGAGCGCTGCGCGCTGCTTTCGACAAGGTGCTTTTCGGCGGGAAAAAATTGTGTCCAAAACCAACAGAAGAATCACCGGAACAGCAGTATGGGATATGATATGAAGCAGCATCATCTACGAATACCCACGCGACATCTAGAGCCCAAGAGCGGGAAAAGATAAAAGGAAGCTGCAAAAGATCCTGCCGCTGTCCTAAAGCAACTCCTTCGAAACAAAACATCAAGACAAGGAGCCCGCAAAGCTGCTACGGTAGGACGAGCCCTGCAGACAAGAGACCTTAACTCTGAAGCCTCCTTTGCCCATCATGATGGAGGAAATGCCTCACTTTTCTTTTCGCAGGCCAATGCGTTTGCAAAGCAGGCTCTTTGTACAGGTCAACTGCGCGTGGACGGAATGGCAGAGCACAACGCGCTGGTCTTGGTTGGCTCAACGTGTGCGGCATGTCCTCTGCCCCTCCGAGAAACACTCCCCTGTGGGGTGTGTAGATTGGTGATACTGAAACTGCCTGCTACTGAGACCATTTTTGGTGAAACTGACTCTGGGATGCTACCCAGTTTGCATGCAATGGCGAGGTGTAAACTCTGTGTCTGCTGGAGGCTAGACGACTCATGGATGTGCTACAGTGTACATGCCGTCTGCATGGAAACATGAAACATGGGGCCGCGAGCATCAGGAGGCGGCGCGGTACGGTGCCACCTTGAACCTGAGCCAAACGGGAAACTACAGCTGCCTCAGGCGCTCTGACAACGCAGCTTCTTGAGGAGGCTACAGGCGATGCTTCCAGTGCTGGAATTCGTCATCATCCAGCTCTGCACCATCCTGTGCAGCAGATTTAAATCATACAGCTTAACAGACGTAGGCGCTGAGAAGATGTGAAGCTCCTGCCGCACGATGAGCTGGCCACTTTCATCCTCTTCCTCCTCCTGGGCAAGACTTTGCGACAGGCAGGTGGGAGTCTCAGATAGTTTGAGAGGAAACTTGGCAGTAGAACCAGGTCCCCGCCTAGATCCATCCTGGTAGACCAGGACTGCATGATTCCCCCTCTATGCCTCTATGTAAACCACAATGATTTCGATAGGCTACCACACCAGGTCGCTGTTTCTCATACGTGAATGTTGCCGCTTGAGCTGCATAACTACGCTGTACAATCAATGTAGCAAATAAAGAGGCTGCTCCTACTTGAGAATCATCACCCTTGGCTCCTCCAGGTCGGGTTCCGGGATGGGCTGCGCGTGCCGTGCCTTCTTTGCAATGCGCCGTGCCAAGACCTGAATAAAGTGCTGAGGGCTCCCAACTTGACGCACGCACCAAGTGAAGAAAACCAGGGCATTGAGGACTGGAGCTTGGGCTCCGATGCGGCAGGCATGATACCCTACTTAGTCTGTTGCGCCCTTCTTGGGTGCTGACAGCACGGCGCCCTCGGCGAGCGGCTATATGAGGCAGCGGGGGCGGGGCGGCCGGAAGCCACCTAACAAGTAGCCAGGAACCAGGAACTGAATCCTGCTGCGTCGGGGTATCCCTCGAAGGCATGCAGGACAAAAACCCTGACTCCATTGTTGGTCGGAACTGAAAGCACCACTGCTGGCCTGACAAGATGTTTCCGAGCTTTTTCAACCTGCAACATGGCTTGGCGCTTCGTGATGGTTCGTGCAGCCGCTGGAGGAAGATCTCCTTACAGACTTGCAGGGCCAGGCCTCTTCCATGACGGGCGAACGCTTCGCACCATACCGAGGCTCAGGAGCATCAAGTCGTGCCAGCGCCTTATCGCGAGGACAGGCAGGGTCAGACCATGCTGGAGAAACACCTGCAATGACCAGCACTTCATCTACCGACACCGGGACATGTCCTGAGGTGAAGTCAAAGATGAAAGGCTCGAAGACGGATTCTCTGGCAGGCTGCAGTGCTCCCTTGTACCTGGCACGCAGCCGAGCATCCGTCCTAGAATCCCTGCTGTTCTTCATGCTGATGGCGTCTGACAATGACTGGCTCAGGCAAGTTCAGGCAAAGCAGGCAAAGTGTGCCTCAGCCGCCTCTGCTTGTCCATGAGCCTGGCCTGGTCAGACCTGGGGCCAAGACCTGAAGTCAAAGAGAGACAAATCTGATCAAGCTCCGTTTCTTTTCTCTAGGGTTTCCTGGCTTCAGACATCAGAGACGATTGCAGATGCATGGGGCCCCGACCCTGCATGAGATTCCTGTCAAGATTGCGCTGGCGATGCCGTGCCATCTCGACACGAGCCTAGCACCAGCGTGGCTTCGCCATATGAGGTCTGAGGCCAGATGCAGTGAAACATGTGAAACAGATGGTAGTTTCCCAGAATAGGGGGACCGCAATATAGACCCCAAAATACTGGAATCCTTGTTATAGGGACCCCCAAAACAAAAGGGTACCCCTAATTTCGGAAAACCCTATACATGTATCCCTAAAGTAAACCCTATATAACCCCATTATAATAGCTTCCATTTTCTTTTCCATTATCCCTATATAACCCTACATTGACAACCACCCATGTGCCACAGGCATAGCCAACCTTGGCTGCCCGAACGGCAGTTTTGGCCCACCAACGTGTTTCTGACCTCAGGGCCCGCAAGGGTTTAGGATCTAGGGGTTTAGGGTTTAAGGGTTTAGGGTTTAGGGTCTGTCATGATTACGAAGCTCAACCGGCAGAATTGTGGTACTGAGTCTCAGGCATCTGACTTCTAGTGACCACGAGCTCCTGCATACCCCAAAAAGGCAAACACATCATCCCATGTGGCGTTCACAGATGAGAGGAGCACAGGGCCACAGGGCTGCCTCGATTTCCTGCTGGCAGACGCCGGTGAGCTCTCTTCCCGGTTTATCCTCACATAGGAGTGCCAGAAGCTTCTTTCCTTGCTGATACGAGCATCGCCCTGTGGGCCAGAAACACGTCCTGTGCTTTGGTGGACACACTTAGATAGGTGCGATGCCAGAGTTAGAAAGCGTTTGACTTGAGAGGACCGCCAGTAACCAAACATCTGCACATGTCCCGGTAGCAAATGTCCCTGCGCAAAGTTCCAACCCTCATCAAGGACATTAGATGGGCGGCTACTTGCACTTTCCATGACAACTTGCCAGGCACGCAAACCTCACTCACCCACCAATTGGCTCTGAGGCAGCAGCCAGCATCAGCCGCACCGCGAAGCCCCTTGCATGGCGCTGGATGCAGGCCGCAGCCTTGTGGCAGCCTGGTTCCAACATCATGGCAATTTCATGATCTGTCAGGGGTCCCTAGGAGAGATCCCTTGCAAACGTGATAGTCTAATTACACGCAACACGGGGCCGTGTTGTGCTGCAGATCTGCTCCACATCTGCTCTGAGGAACGGACGCTTGATCCACTTCCGGTGCACTGAACTGTGCCACACCTTGGCAGCAAATTGTTTCGAAGCAAACCTACCTGCAACTTCTCTTGAGTGTCAAGCTCTCTGAATTCGGAGTACAGAGTTGAGGAGCTTGGACGCTCGAAGGTTCCATTTCCACGCCTCCAACATCAATGGCTACTGCACTTTCTAGTGGCACATGAGAGCTCTGTCCTTGTAGTTCCGGAGAATTTTCCATGCAGCGTCGTCCTTGCGCATTATGCCCAAGGCCTCAGTGTCGGCATTGGAGTCCAGAAGCTGTTCTAAGCCTGTTCGGCCAGATGCTGGGCTCCGAACGGCGCGAAGCCCACGCCAGTGTCGTTGAATTCGCATCTGGGGCGACAGAGGAGCATTCAATGTTTCATACGAAGCTTGGGGTCCGTTTCCCTTCAAGCTCTGCAATTCCAAGTGGTAGACTCAGTGTTCTAGATCGGTTGAACAGCAGGCACCGTGCGTTCAACAGAGGCTTCGTCAAAAAGGTTCATGAAATTGCTTTGTAGGAACTTGTAGGAACAGTGAGAGATGCATTCACAGAGCCCAACATTCGGGCTCACGCTAGGTCTACTTGGATTTCCATGCCAGCGCCAGAACACGCACAGGTTGCCACGCGGAGGGCACGGGCAAAAAAGCACTCTACTGACTAGCACCCTGGGTCCAGTTGTTTGCCATTCTGCTTGGCAGTGCCCAAAAGCGTGCCTCCCCGACAATAACATCTCTAGTAGACCACTACCCGAGACTTCAAAACCACGAAAAACCATGCGTGTGCCTCTGACATTGCAAGGTCTGCAGTTTGCATTACGCAGCCTAGGGCATCTGTACCTTTTCACGAACTCAAGCATCTCTCTAACACACCGCATTGTGTCCCTTGCAAGGGTCCAGAATCCACTCAAGGCTCTCAGGTGCCGAGAGCTGCATGGCACGGGGCAAAACAAGATAAACAAGAACCAATAAAGACCCCAAAATTCTATAATCCTTATTATGGGGTTCCCCAAAAAAGTACCCATAATTTTAGGAAACTCCCATATCAGTGCATCAAGTTCCCCTGCTGGGGTCAGAATGTAACCACACAAAAAGAAGCAATTCCGAGCTGCGCACTGCGGGTGCGATAGCATTCTGCTTCTGCCCCCGCAGCTTGATGTAGCGGTATCTCCTGAGTTCAGGCTTGGGATTTAGCTCTCAAGGGAGCAGCGGACTCTGTTTTGTGGACAGTTTAGGATCCCTCGGTCATGACTCAAAATGATATCATCACTTCATATCCCCGAATATTTGAGGATCCATATGCACGTGGACTAAAAACTTTGAGACAACCTCCACTGCTCAGACCTGACAATTGCAATCTCATAGGAACTATGAGTGTGGGAACCAGTATTGAACGCTGTAACTGACTACCCACAAGTGCTATCGAACCAGGCCCCTGGCTGCTGGATGGACACAGCAGCTCGGTGATACAGTAAACCTGGGCCAGAATTTAGGCTTACATGCGGGGTATATAAGGTTATATAGGGGTATATGGGGTTAATATGGTTATACTTACTGGGGGTTAGTAGGGAATAACGGAATAGAGTATAGGGTTTGGGGCTTTATTTTACCAACCCCTCGCACCTTTTCTGATGCTAGCTTATCGCTGGGTTTGGGGTTTAAGGTTTAGGGTTTCGGGTTACTCGGGAATGAAGGGGTGTGTATTGGGGTTACATAGGGATAATGGCAAAGAAGATGAACACTACTGTAGCATAATGGGGTATATATTTGGGTTATAGCAGGGAATACGGGGATGTAATCCCTATATAATGCATTCCCTTATTCCCCACTAAACCCCAGTAAGCGCTGTGTACATACACACCCCAAAAGCTGCAGATACCACATCCTCGCACCAATCCATTTGCCAACCCTCTTGGCCCACAATGGCTAGTGGGGAGCCAGGAAATCCTCTGCAGGGCAGGAACATGGGCTGAGATGCCAACGCAGATGCAGCCCTCTGAGGACCATGTGCAGAAGAACAACAGCGAGCCTTTGGTTCAGACTCGACGCAAAGCTTCCGAGGGATTCTCGACGTCTGTTCAGGATGTTCTATCCTTCAAGGCCCCAGCACGAAGGAGCAATGGTCGTGCATGGCTCTGTCCGCCATCTCGAACAGTTTGTCCGTGACCTGGTCGAGACCGGGGCTGAGACCCCGTGCTTCAGCCCAGACTTGGCTCCCATGACATGCTTGTCATGCTAAGTTTCTGACGGAGACAAAGCGGTTAGCACGCATACCTTGGATAATGAGCGCCAAGAAATGTGCTCGCAGTTTGGGTGTGCAGATGATCTGCTTGGACCCGAGCCAGCTCCAGCTTTTGGGGAAGCAGGATCTGCAGAACCTCCCACAAAACCATAGGATTGCTCTTTCTTCCTTCGCCACGGTGACGATTTGTGTGTCAATGTGAATGCTGTTAGGACGAGTAATGCCATCTTTGTTCCGTGACGGCTGCCACTCGTCTTGCTCCTGGCATCCCACTTCGGTTGTTGTTTCCAATATAGGGGTTATACAGGAGTATATAGGTACAATGGAAAAGATAGGAAACTACTATTTAGGGTTTGGCATCTATCACTATTGTCTCATATTTTGACACTAACGCCAGGTACGCCGACTCCGCGGGCTCAGATCGGGATGTCTTTTTGAAGCCCTCAGAACCAAAAAGCTTGCCATCAGGCCACATGGTATCTCTCCAAGAGTCGTCCCAAACCACCAAGATGCCAAACCCGGAATGGGAGTTTCCATTTTCTTTTCCATTATCCCTATATAACCCCTAGCTTACCCCTACATATAATTCCTGAAACTCAAAAACTCGGCGCTGCCTTTGGCCAGCACACTCTGCATGGCTTCGTCCTGCAAGCCAGATACAGCGAGGGTTTCTCTCGGAGATCTTATTGTCGCAAGGACTGCCAGAAAATGCTAAGAAGCCAGCAAAGTGCATGGTATCCGAAATATGATGGCTAAAGTAGTGATGTCCAACAATTTGCATCTCAGACAAATGCTGCTTACTGGCTATTGCCATGGGAATTACTATACTGACAGCGAGTCGTGTACACGGAATTCTCCCGCCGGCCTGACCCCGCATAAAGTATCCGACCTGCCGAAGCAAAGCAGGATCGCAAGAAAACAATGACAAGAGAAAAATCTGCATGACCAGTTTCCGGGGACTCTCCTAACCATAGTCTCTGTTTTGGGCCCCAAGAAAGAATAACTGTAGTGTCAGGGGGTTGCTAGCGGAGTCAAAGTCATCGCACAACTGTTCTGCTTGATAGCTGCGCCCTTGTCTTGTCGACGCGCTTCCTCCGCAAGTTCTGACAACGCAAAGCTGCGGATCTGGAACCAGTAGGCTTTGAACTTTAGATCAAGACTTAACCAAGTTCTACAACACGAACGCCACACTTTCAACCACAGTCCCATTTTCGTGGGCTTGGATGGTTATTGGCTCAATGAACCACGTATCTGCCTGCTGCAGGACCCGCATCGTTGCGGCTCGGGTGAAATGAGACAGCGCACCACCTTCTGGCCTTGGCGATCGCTCTGCTTCCAGGCTTTGTTGGTAACTGGCTTCACGTGTCATCCGGCTGACAGTGCGCAGGAATGCGTAATAGCTGCATCTAGGATGACCTCCTTCCCATCTGTAGCCGTGTTTGACTATGATCCGAGGTGTCACATCGCCCGGGATCTGGACAGTGGCGTGGAGAAGGGCGCAGTTGGCGACCTTGAGGCACATGGCAACAGCCCATGCTACGACGGATTACCAGCATCGCTAGAAAAACAGAACGCTACCAGTCGAGCTGGATGCATCATCCTTATAGGAAATAACTCATGTCAAACAGCCTACCAAGCACAACATTGCCCAATCTCCTACAAGTAACCAAAATCAAACATGATGCCACATGCGGTCAGCAACCCCTATAAAACCTTATCTATTAATAGCCCCTTCAATCCTTCCAACTCGTTTCAGCTGCTGAGATCCAAGCGCACCCGGCGTGGTGGTGGCCACAGACACAGCATCGCCATCTGGAGGTTAGTTTCTTAAGCTGGGTTAGGGTCAAGGCTTTTGGTTTCAGCTGGTGAGTTTCAAGGCTTTTGCCCAGGTTGCGTTGGCAAAAGGTTTCGGGGTATTCCAGAACAGCAAGGTCTCGCGACAAAAAACAGACGTAATCCTTTTGATCATGAAGATTCACAGTTTTGAGAAGCCACGTTTGTCGTCTGAAAGAAGCTCTGCCAAGACATGGGAAGATCTAGACTTGCACAATTAAACCCAAAAAGCAAACCCTCAACGAAAGTCAGGTTGCGTCTACGTCAGTGGCAGCATGCTGTCCTGAAGCCTGCCCCCGGAAATCAGGGTTGATGTGATGACTTGGGGAGCTCTTGCAGGAAACCAATGAAGAAACATAAGAAAACTGAGTTTTCAAAAATCCAAAAACTCACGGAACCCTGACTTGACGCCTCTTTCCCGCTCTGCGCGCCTCTGGGAATATCCAGACCAGTACTCATTCTTCCCTCTTTTCTCTTCCCCTCAGCGAGCCAAGGTACCGGTGTGTGGGCGCGCGCTATGCAGGGACTCCCGCAATCAGGGTTGCTCAAGGGAAGCTTTGGGATCTGAACAATGGATGTTTTGTGGAAAGCAAATGCAAGACTTGAACCATCCAAGCAGCACGGACGGCTGCACCTGCAGTAAGCAGCTACTGCCGAACCGAAGGGCTGTGTCGCCACAACTGTGATGACCGTAGTGACCGCATTGCTCTACATGGGTCCCTAATATGCAACCCCCAACACATTCAGACCCTGAGTCTGCGGACCCAAAAGATGAAAAAGCTCTCCCCTAGAAAGCCGATAGCATGCTCGCCACCAAAATGCTTAATATCCCCAAGCATGAAACGCCGAAACGTGTGAATAAACTCCCCATCGATGGACCACAAAAACAGGACCCACAATTTCCAGACGCTCCTGTAAAGGAATTTCTCCAAACGAGGGACCCCTTACATATCCAAATAATGACAACCTCATTATAGGGACAGCCAAGAAGGTGCCCAGAATTTTGAGAAGCCTCCAAACCCCAATCCCTAAACCAAATGCAACACAACAAATTCAAACTTAGCCTGTGGCCGCAGCGGCACCCTTTGCCTTTGGATCGGCCTCCGGACTTCAGTTTTGGGTAGGGTCTAAAGGTTTTGGATCTGGGGTTTAGGCGTTGGTTGGCTTTGTGGGCTCAGGGGTTGGGTGAAGGGTTTAGTGGGGGTGTTTTGGGATTAAAGCGAGCCCTACCAAACGACCCGGAACTTCGAAAGCACAAAGACTCTTGGTTCAAACCCAAAACATAGGTGTGTTCAAAACTCCCACATGATATAGAATCCCTATATAACACCCCTTTAAGGAGTTCAGTAGTCCCCTATATAATCCCTATATAAAGTTCTTGAAGGACTTTAAACATTTGTACACGCGGGCCTTCGACTTGGACTTGGCCTTGGCTTTGGTCGTCAGGGTCTTTCCGTCCTGGAGACCCCAAGGTGCTTCTGGAGCTCCATGTGGCAGTAGATTCAGGGTTTAGGGTTCGGCAAGGGTATAACTCAGAATTTAGGGCGCAAGGCCGCAAGGACAGAATTCAGAATTTAGGCTCCAGGGTATTGTTCAGAATTTAGGCTCTAAGGATTTAGGGTTCAGGGCTTTTGGCGGCGGAATGAAAGCTTCTCTTCGCTCAAGGTTTTCCCTAGTTACGCTCTAGTGGCCTCTAACTTCCAGAGATGCAGGCACGAGTAAAAAGCCTGTGTTCGAGGACTCTGGCCTGCTGATTGCTCAACGCCGAATTCGACAGATGGAATTGGAGCCACAAGATTTCAGGGCTTCGGTCTGACAAATCGAGTTGGCTAGGAGGATGAGCCTGTAACTGGTGTGGATGGGATAGAGGAATCTGCATCAACACGCCACTTGCTACTCAGACTTGGAGCTTGAACGTCAAACTGCTTTTCTCATATGTACCCTAGACATGATTACATGGCATGTCCTTGTCTTTCTCTGAAGTGAAGTCCTTCATGTGGTTGCCTGAACAAACGCACGATGGCCGCGGAGGGAAGCACAGTACCCCACAGGAAGACAGCCCAGTATGCCACATTCACTTGCTAAGCCTCACGAGCCACCATGATCCGAGCGCAACACAGAAGATCATGACGGGCTGACAAGCAAAGAAGCTGAGATGTGCACTGAGCACAAGCGCCAGCGCCGCCACTGTGCCATGCTGCTGAGTCCTCAGACATGCGGAAGTTGTGCTTCGACATCGACTGTGAAGGGCCGCGGACATCTGCAAGCTGTGGGATTCTGGCGGGCGTCTCAGCAGGCTGAGCCCCGCGGCCAGTCGTGCGGCAGACGATGGTCCAGCTCGCTGCTCAGGACTTCCATCATCTGGGCACCTGCCTCATTTCGGAGTTTGCTGGCTCAACCCGCACACACCAAAAACTGGAGCTCCGTGCGGTGGCATCAAGCCCTTGGAATCGCAGATGGTCTTCTGTGGAGATCGTCGGTGACTCCTGGGTCCAACGCTACGCCACGCTCGAAATGTCCATCCACCAAAAGCTGACAAAACTAAGCTGCCGACCAATGCCTGTCGCATTGTCACCAAAACCTGAGACGTTGCTCAGGTGGGTGCAAGAGGGCCAGCCCTTGGATCAATGCATTGCAAAGGCGCCTCTGCTGTCAGGTACACGTGGCGATGACTGGCAGGGAGCGTGTTCAGCACGAGACCTGAACACGTCAAGCCAGCGTGCACCGTGTAGCTTTGCCGACTTGTTCGAGGGTCGCATGGGTCGCATGGCCATGTCTCAGAACCAAATCTCCTTGTCTAAAACCCAAATGCAAAAAGATCCGCAAACCTGACCTTCACCAAGGTAGCTATTCTTCAACGTTGATGAGGCAGCGGCATGGCAGGCTTTCCTCTGATAGAGTGATGAGCCAGTCATGGTGGTGCTTGACCTCAGTCGTTGTTCTTTTGATTGCCAAATCACCCAAAACACAGCTTTTTCGCCGGGATCCCTATTGCCCCTTCTCCAAGTCAGATGTACCAGGGGCAAGCTCTCAAGGGCGAGATGCAAAAGAAGCTTTCCCGCACCTGTAATATGCCATCTTCCAATCCAAGGACCATGTCTGCTTAGTTGCCTTTGCACAGGTAGCTCTGAACAAGTGACAAGTGACACGGGCTTTAGGACTCCAAATAGTCAGCTTTCCACACGCGAGAACACAAGATAATAGATTGCGCACATGCTCACCAAGTGAATGAGGATGCAGCCGTACCACTTGTCTCCCACAGCGTGGCCTGAGTTCCAGGACACTGACATTTTTTTTTGCGAAAGTAGTAATTTCCCAAAATGGGGGGACCCCAATATAAACCCCAAAATACCTTCATATAGGGACCCCAAAAAAGTACCCCTGATTTTGGGAAATCCCCAGATATCTGTAAATCCTGCCTTTGGTTGGAAGTCTGTTGATTAGCAGCTTTGCGTTGCTCTAATCACCTCCCCTACAACGAACCCCCCCCCCGCACCCCCCACCCCACGAGTGGCAAATATCCCCAATCTGGTAATTACCAGTATATAGACTCGGTGGGGATATTCAATATTGTTAAGGGAGTTGAAGGTTTTTTATTACGAGTAGGTGATTGAGCATTTTGCGAACTGAAAGTCATTGATGCACATCTCACACCCTAGCTGGCGAAAACGTTTACATCTCGACAGACTTATCTTGGGCTTATATTGGGTTATATAGGGATAGCTACTATTTAGGGTTCAGAGGGCGGCGCCAGCGAGTCCCCGGGATGCGGAGGGATCTCTTTGCCCACCGGGATGATCTGGCAAACTGCTCCAGTGATATCACAAAGGTTGCAGTCACTACGGTTTTACCCCGATTGTGAACCCTGTCATGAATATTAGTCATGTCTGTATCTGGCTATTGCTATTACATGAACTGTGAGCCTGAGACACCTTGACTCAACTAAACCCAACAGGGGCAGCACAACAGAGCTAGACCCCTGTTAGCCACGCAGTGAATGTGCGGCATTGCATGAATTTCATAACGACGGGATCCCCGATGCTTGATATCCCGCAAGAAGGCAACCTTTATCTTCCAAACGTGTGCGACACCAACTGTGAAAGTTTCTGAGATGCCCCTATTTATCCTGAGCTACCCTTGCTACAAGTACTGTATTGCTGATGATGGAAAATGGTATGTTTTCCTTGAAATATTACCGTAGCTACACTTTTACCATGACATATGGTAGTTTCCCAAAATAGGGGGACCCCAATGTAGACCCCCAAAATACTATAGTCCTTATTATTGGGACCCCCAAAAAGGGTACCCCTAATTTTGGGAAATCCCCATATTTCAGTGGCATAGACGGCCTCCCGCTGGATGCAGGCCCTGCTGAGCGCGAACTTCACAGCCTGGTGCGACATGGCGTAGCAGGCCTCAAGATGGGGCGGAGGAGGGTTTAGGGTTTAGGGTTTAGTAATAGTAATAGTAATAGTAATACTAATACTAATAATAGTAATAGTAATAATAATAATAGTAATAGCAATAATAATAATAGTAATAGTAATAGTAATAGTAGTAATAGTAATAGTAATAGTAAAAGTAATACTAGTAATAGTAATAATAGCAATAGTAATAATAATAGTAATAGTAGTAGTAATAATAATAATAATAGTAATAGTAATAATAGTAATAGTAACAGTAATAATAGCAATAATAATAATAGTAGTAGTAATAATAGTAATAATAGTAATAGTAATAGTAATAATAGTAATAGTAACAGTAATAATAGCAATAGTAATAATAATAGTAATAATAAAAATAATAGTAATAGTAATAAGAATAATAATAATAATAGTAATAGTAATCGTAATAGTAATAATAATAATAATACTAATAGTAAGAGTAATAATAGTACTTTTTTGAAGGACAGATTCTGGGACTATGCGGGTGGGCATCCAGCAAATCAGTCGAATCATCTACAGGGGACTATCGGTTATAGCTTGCGCGGCTTCGTATCTAGGAGTCTACCCAGATAGCGAAGCACAAATGTAGTTTTTCATCTCCTGAGACGCCAGCCCATTCCACGGTGTCCGGGAAAGCCTCCGCCGGAATCTGGTTTAGCCTCAACAAGAAAATCCTCCAAGGAGTTTGTTTTTTGGTGGTTTAGCTCCAGAATTGTCAGCAAACATCAACCCAGTATCGATTCCAAACAGTGCATTCCTGCAAAAGACTCCGCAAATTTGACTGGACAATAAGTAGGCTCTCTTTCAAATAAACAGTGGGTCCTGGAAATGAGGATTTCAGGGTTTCTTACACCCTCATCCTGCTAGATACTGTACCTCATGAACTACCAGATGGGGCCCTCATACCTCCACCCTAAACCTGAAACCCTATTTGAGCGGTGTTAAAACATGACTTATGAAAATCCAAATGATGAGGATGCCCAGAACCGACCTTGGCTGTGAAAAACCAGTATTGGGTACCTTTAAGGCCATATGTAGGGTTATGTAGGGTTATATACAGTAGGGTTATATGGTTTAGGGTTTCCCAAAACTAGGGATACCTTTTTGGGGGGTCCCCATAACAAGGATTATAGCATTTTGGGGTCTATGATGGGGTCCCCCTATTTTGGGAAACTACCATACCACAAAATGCGCGAAACTCCATTTCAGCGACTCAGTGTTCAGTAAGGCTGACGCAGATGCCGCGTGACCGAGAGCAGCATGTGGGAAACCAAATCAGGCTTGTCACCTCAGAATAATTGTAATAATATCGATAATAAGAAAACACAATACTAATCATAACAATAATACTAATACTAATCACAATCGATCAATGATACTAATACTAATCATCGAATACCCCTGAGGATTTCTGGGGCGCCTTTCTGTTAGAGAGTTGCTCTGAGATCCCTCAAAGTGGGGGTACCGGGCACTCTAAAAGCCCCTATCATCTCCGAAACTTCCATATGAGCTATAGTATGACGTCCTAGCATCTCCCTTAATAACCCCTAGAATATAGGGTTTAGGGTTCAGGGTCTAAACTCCTAGCATCCCCCTTCATACCCCCCATAATCCTCCCCTAAATACTCACCCTGTATAACTGCCTTCAGGAAGTTTAGACTATAGCCCACATGCCACCAAGGTCAGAAAGGTGCAACCTGGGGTCTCTGAAAGCTTGGGAAAAACACTTCTTGAGGGTTTAGGGTTTAGGGTCGTTGCTGTGCTGGAGACTCAACAGGGGAACCTATCAGGGAAAGCTGTCACATTGATCACTTCCTTTGAGCAGAAACCGAACAGCCAGAAACAATCATCTACTTTGGTACATGGTGCTCTGTGTCACATCTGTGCAGGAGCTTTGGAAACACCAATTGAGCATTAGGAAACCTGGTCAGTCTCCGTGTTGTCTGCATCTCAACATTGCAACTGCGAGGGGGATGCTTGGCCAGTTTTTTTTGACCCACAAGAATGTGAGTAGCTGTCCTGTTGCACGAAAGGATGATGACCATGATAGAGGAAACTCCGAATCCTGAACCGTCTAGCAGCAACTGGAGCCTGGTCTTCAACACCTTCTCGCCCTAACTGTATGTATTCCACGACGATCAAATGCAAGACCCGATGCTGCCTGAAAGCGGGTGTGCAATTTCAGGGGGACTAAATGTTCATAAGTTCATCGGAGTACTGAGAGCCAGACTATCATAATGCAGGTGCTCTTGCCCAGACACTCGCAGGCCTGTGACCCAGAACTGCTCACACGTTGGCTTGTAGAAGGTTAGTGATATCTGACAAGCTTTGCAATGTTTGTAGAAACTTGGATCCTTGGAGTTTTACTTTACACCATGCTCTGCCGCATGTATACCTTTCCCAATGCGAGCAGGATAAAAGGGTGGGGTGCTTCATGTTCCACACAGGCTCCATCGAGACTTGTCTCAAGAACCAGCATCCGCTTAAATATCACCAATAATCATGATATACTCGTAATTTACGGATCCCGGACCCCTGAAGTGGGAGCCTCTGACTTCAACAAATTCTCTCAAGCATCCCGAGAATGTGTCATGTGGAGGCCTGAAAACTTACCACAAACATTAGACGTCTGCTTTCAGTTCCCTATACCATATTTCTACAAGACATCTAGGACCATAATTATAGATAGTGGTAGCTACCTAAACCCTAAACCCTAAACCCCTAAACTACATTGTATAATCCCTGAATCTAGCCAATGCCACATGCCTCGCTTCCCAATCTCTTCATTGGCCAGCTTTCCTGTCACCTTGAGTTCCAATGGATGAATGTCCCTTGTTAGGAAGCTCTAGAGACAGTCAAAGGGGGTTTAGGGTGATACAGGAGGATTCAACTATCTAGGTGGGTACCCTATGAAAAAGCAGTGAAAGGCACACTGGCAACTACGGGGAATTCTAGGAGAACCCCTTGCCGACAGTTCAGATCGCTCCCTGCGCGGCGCATTAGGAAATTCTTGCCACAGTTGCAATTTTCATGCTTCTATAATGCTGAAACGTTTCTGCGAAATCTGCAACAAAATGCTCCAGAAATCTGTAGCATGCTCAACCCTGAAGAGCTCCCACGGCGAAAAGCTTGCTCTTGTCGTCCCAACTTTGGAAGCCATCTGCTTGAAAGTTAGTACAACAAATGCCAACATCTGTGCAAATCTGTGAGGCCGCGACGTGCACGAGACCTATGGTTCGCTGCATCGAGGCCTGGCACGCATGACAAGCATTGAGCTCATTGAAAATAATGCTGACACAGTTACTATCAGGGCTGGAAGGGAAGAACTAGCAACAGCAGCAGCCTTGATGGTGATACAATTGTCGACTCCCTACCCACACTCCTTCTAGGGCCCTCTCACAACTACGCATGCGATTACTGCCAGTCTTTGTCACCGCACTCCGACCATTAGTTTGTAGATGAGCACGGGCTGCGAAAGGCCTTCACCTGAGACAGGACCTCTTGGATCTCTGCAGGCCTTGGAGTCTTAGGGGCTTGGAGTTTAGACTGCAGCTCTTCATCACTCTATAGGATCAAACAAGAAGAAAGCTGCAATGGTGAGGAACTGCAACACGCATCCGTGCTCTTGTCTGTGTTGCTGCAACAATAGGAGCACGGCAGATGTCGCCACCACCTTGGCTTCATATGCAGACTCGCGCTTCTTCATGCCTTGACGTCTTCTGTGTGATTTCTGGATCTCTGGCCGCATGGGACATTCGATAGCAGCACAAGGGCTCCGGACGGATGGATGTAGTGTCGAATCTCTGAGGCTGCGGTGTAAAAGGCTGTGAGAAGCCTTAGCTTGACTCAACAGGCTGTGAGAAGCTGTGGCTTCAGGGGCAAACAAAGTGGTACTGGTAGCAGCAGCAGCAGCAGCAGCACTTGTCATCTGCATCTTGGGAGGCAGAAGCTGATCAAAGCCCCGGCATGTCCAAATTTCGATTTTGATCAGGCTTCTGCCTTTGAGGAAGTAGGTCGCTTTAACTGGGAAACGACTAGCCCCCGACGTGCTGATCTTCTTGTCAGCCTCAGCCTTGGTCTTCCTGCAAGTGGGTTTCACGCAGGGGTCCCGCTGTTTACGAGAGTTCACAGGGGAGACAGTTTTGATGAGCGTCAGGGTCTCTCACGGAGCACAAGAGCTGCAGAGAAGCCTCAAGTAACGCGTCAAAGGAACCCTCTAGATATTGCCGTCTGCGTAGACATCCCCAAGGAACCGTGATAGGCTGATCTAGTCAGAGGGTTAAGCTTCTAAAAAATCTGAAAACCAAACAAACCACCCATATCCCCCCGTGCAAGCTCATCGCAACGTTGGTTGCTGTTGAGCCCCTTGTCCTCATCGTGACGACCCGGTGATACTCAGAGTGCCGGCGCCAGTTCCTCTGGATCCTGGGCGTGCGAAATAGCCGTAGCATCCACCAAAGCAGTTTTTGTAGCACAAATAATCATAATGTCAGTGATGGGAGAAATCAACATAGCCGCACAACAGCGAAAGAGAGTAGGTGTGTAAGGTCCCAGCAGAACAGCTGCCGAACCCTCCAGCTTTGACCGGATCAGCTCCAGAAATCGCTGCCTCACTTCAGCGATTCCGCCAGAGAGGAGGTTTGCAGAAGTGGGACTTCCTGCTTGGCTTAGGATATGCAGGGGCCTGTATTCCAGAAACTCCGGTGTAAGTCTACCGTAGAACTCCCCTTCCTGGGATACCTGCCGCACGGTCTCCATCCTGTCGTACAGGATAACCTTGACGTCCAACCTAGGCTCTGCCGATACAGCGCCAAAGTAGCGCGAATTTCCACAACTTCAGGTGTCGCATCAGGGCGTTGCTGCGACTGGAATCTGCGCCAATTCCGCTGGAGCATGATGACCTCGGCCGCCGTAGGGATTTGTGCGCGCTTTTGCAGCAATGACGTGCATGAGTGTCTTGAATGCTCCTCGGCCCCGAACAGACTCCAACCTCCTTGCTGTCATCTTGCGAGCCTACGCAGCTTTAGACTTTGTGCGTGAGTCAAAGAACCCCGTATCGCCACTGCTGCGGACCCACGCCATCCTCAGACCCCTTTGCGTGGGGAATGGGAGAAATCTATCCGAAAATGTACTTGGCTTCTTCAAACGATCTAAGGGTCGCCCATTCATTAAAGTGGTCGTCTGCGCTCCCAGGGGAATCATGTCGAAAGGATCCATGCCAGGGGAATCATATCGAAAGGATCCATGCGTTTGAGCTACCAGCCTGACCTTGCAGGGCTAGAGGCAAGAATCGCCCGGATGCAGAGAACCAACCCACTTGGAGCCAGAGAGGGTTGCGATCAACAAGACCAGCTGAAATAATCACTGGAAACTTGAGTAGCATGACAGCTCAATGAAGTTGACAACCCACCTCATATCCGCGCCAGTGGGCTTGCACCTTGCGTGGCCAAACCAGGGTAGCAAACTGCTTGGATTGAACCTGTACCTGTCCAGCTCAATGTTTGCCTGCCACAAGAAATTAGAAGCTGCCATGCCTTGAAATAATATGAAATAATAGGATTGCACTCCAAAGCCCAGAAAATGCTAGAGACTCGCTACACCACAATAGGATCCCCTTCTGTTTAGACGCACCTGGCTGATGGAAGCTAGAGATGCAGACAAGGTTCGTAAGCAGCTGCACGATTTTTGCCCCGCCGAGCTTCCCGAAGAGCGACACCCCGCGCCATAGCTGCAGAGGTGTCAAGGTTCAGGCTTTTGAGGCTTGAGGCTGGGGTTTGGGTCAAGAAGACACTGCGGTCAGTGGGGTTCTAAGAAGCATGTGAGAGTGCGGGGGGCTGAGGAACCTCTTGCCGGGGACTGATTCCAAGATCTGTAGGAGCCTTGCAGAGTCAAACGCAATGCCATTTTGGATTGTGAATCCCAAACACCTGTCCTCTGTAATCCCTTTTCCGGATCTGGGTGCCTTTGCCATCACTTCTGCACACTATGAACCTACTCCTAAATACGTGGAGGATCAATTTGACGAAAGTCATCCGTGCTATTCCGGCAGTGGCTTTAGAAGCATTCCTACAATGCCCTACTAGATCCTTGTCACCCTTAAGTCTACCATATTCTGGGTTGCTGTTAAGGAACTTGAATTAAGTTACCATAATGGGTATATATAGTAAATAATAGGGTCTCCCCAATATAGTAAGTTAATTTAAGTTCCTTAACAGCAACCCAGTATTAGCTCCATTTCATCTGGTTATCAAAGTTCCATGAAACCTCCCAGCAACCCGAGGATGCCCGGTCTTGCCTTGGAGCTTCGAGGCAGCCTGCAGCGCACGTAACAATGTCCAAGATGAGGATGGGGGTTTCCCCAAATTAGGGGTAATTACATTTTTTGGGGGTCCCTATGATAAGGACTATAGTATTTTGGGATCTACGTTGGGGTCCCCTTACTTTGGGAAACTACCGGATGGTCATTCTGACTCTGAAGACGAAAGCAACTCTTGGGGACATATGGAGATAAAACGCAGGAAATTGGGGGAAGTGATGGTCGCCAAGAAGTAGCCAAGAATGCGTGACATTAAAAACCAAGAATAATGGTAGTAGCAAGGCGGAACTCAAAAGGATGACAGCTGCCCTTTTCCGTGCGGGAGGCACACTGCTAGGATTCGAACAGCTTGAGTCTCAGGAGACAGGCACGCAGCTGGCCAAGATTGCTGAAGTCTTTGCTCACCTTGAGCCAGTTAGGATGGTATGCGTACGGATGCGATGCGAAGGCCACGACACACTGAGAGTTCAGGAGGCCAGCAGCCCATGAGAAGCCACTTGGGGCCACCACAAGCACATCCGCCTGTGCCATGTGTGCCCAGTCATCATTCGCATCACCATCCAGATGCACATGTGCCCCAAGCTCACTGTAGTCATGGAAGTCCGACTCTGCAAATTTGCCTTCAGTAGTTGAGAACACATGAATTTCCGCCGGAGCTACAACTGGCTTTAGGAGACGCAGAAACGTGAGGTAGAAGTCGTCGGGAATAAAGCGATCTACTCCACGGCCCGTGGTGGTCTTCATAATATCCCCGCGCCTGACATGCACGGCGACACGCAGCTTGCCAGAAGAAAAATGTGGCACGGGGCGTCTGAGAAGCTCCGTCTTGTGCCGCAGCCTCTGAATAAATGATGCACTGAGATGGCTGAAAACATCTTCCTGGGGCATTGGGGTGCAGCCGAAGAAGGCAAGAATCGTCTGCCCTGCTTTTGCATCTGGGGGAGGCAAAGAGGCATCTAAGGCGTTATTCCAGCAGCGATCAAAATGGGGGTGTCGAACACGAAGCCTCATCTCGGAATAGTTGCCCCCAATGTACGTAGATACACTTTGTAACATGGCGTCCGACTTCATTTTATGGCCGCCATCAAAGGTGTCATTAAAAACGAACCCACCAAAGCTCATATTGTGCGTTGCTGCAGCCGCCAGGTACATCAGAATTTGATAGACACGCTCCCCAACTCCATCACTCCTTTCTATCCCATACAGAATAGGGGACGTGGTGCTGACCGAAGGGCACAAGGGGCACGTCACAGCAACCCCCATCAGCTGCGCAGCGGTCCCACTGTTGAGACCCTTCGTGCTCGAACCACAAGACCAGTCTTCGTACTTGTAAAGGCAAGGACCAAATTTGGGAAGATTGTCCAGTTGAAGGAGAGACGCTGTGCGCGACTGGCAAACATCTGCCGCAAGACCGGCATGGAAAGCTATAGGCACGAGCAATAGAGGCCAAATTCCATTTGCAATTCCGGGCTCTGACATGGACTGGTAGTTCCCATTTGGGAGCGGAAAAGGGAGGATAAAGTGCAGTCACATACAGACCGCTTTGGAGCCGAGACATTATTGATATATGTTGATGTTGGAAAGTCGACCAAGTCCTTTTCTCCATCCTGCGTAGATCCACACAAAGTGCAAGCTTGAAACGCCTAGAAGACTATCACCTGTAAAGACTTCCTTGAACATGACTCACGGCCATTGAGGGACATGAGTGTTGGAACTGCTTCAGAAACTCAATAGACATGTTGCCGCATTGCTGTCCATCAAGATCAGCAACAACCACTGCCCCCCTCTCACGTCCCCCTTTCACCCCACCTCGTTCATCTCCCGCATTGGCCTTCGACCATATAGCCTACCGCGGTAGTATCGCTGAATGGTCCTCAGCACGAGTGATCACCCAACTCCCCAGCAGAATACAAGCATACTTGATGATCAAAATTCTCGTTCGCAGGAACTAATGAGCTCACAAATCCATGGTGATACCGCAAAAAGGATCGCTGAGTCAGCCCTCACTTCAACTAGTTGAAAGAGACGCTGTCAAGTTCCATGACTTGCTTCATCATTCAGCATTGACTCGAGGCCAGAGAGGGCACCGTGCACAAATCCACATGCAAAAGCTATGCCTGACAGCCCCTTGCTTGCCATGCGCTAGCTGCCTGATATATACCTCTTACAAACCATTACTATTACTCGAAGAGTTTAGACTGCGGATGATGGTGGATGATGTCTCTGAATCAAGCTGTTGAAGCCTAAGTGCTCCATTTTCCACACGACTTGGAGCAACAGAACCTGGACAACCTGCGACCCACATCAACCACAAATTTGGAGAATTGGACACGCCATCATGAGGCTGTGGCAGGCCAGCTTTCACCAGGACTTGATGGCGGCGCCTAGATGATGGATAGTTTTACTAAGATGGATGCTGGTATTAGGATAACTGCTATTGCTGTTGGTCCTCATCTCTGCATGGTGTCGCGTACTTCCCTCATAGCACACTTCAGAGAATTGAACAGAAAGATCATCTAATTACATGTTCCAGGTGTCTTCTACATCTCGCCAGACTTTGCACAGCACTGCATTCGCAAAATGCAGACCACACATAAACGTATCGTCATCCGGTACAGTCCCTCTAGAACCTCATGTAGGGCTCCCTTTGATCCCTCGGTCTCCCTAAACTGCCACGCCATCTGACACTGACCGCAATGACTCCCAAGGAACCCTATATGCACCCATCAAAAGCCATAACAGAAATCCCGACCTCATATGAGCTGTATGTAGTTTAAACTCCTCACTAGCTTAGTATACCCAAAAAAGACAACTATACTACTCCCCTATATGACCCCCTTTAAGGGGTTTGGACTATAGCTTAGTCCCCTAAACCCCAAACCCCAAATAGTACAATAGTTTCCATTTTCTTTGCCATTCTGACATGTAATCCCCACATAACCGCCATAATCAATTTTATCCCCTTCATAACCCCCATTAGCTCATATAACCCAGGTTCCTTGACCCCACACTATGGACCAGGCCTGGTCAAGGTGCCTTTCCACTTCGCCTGGAAGCGGGTGATGTCCTTCATCCTCAGCCATCATGAGGGACTGATATGAGGGGGGTTTTCGAAATCAGGGGTACCTTGATGAAGGTGCCCAGAATAACCACTATAGTCTATATTGGAGTCGGCCTATTCAGGGAAACTACCATATCTCTAGTAGTCACAAGGTGTAATTTGCCCTCTCTTCTTCTACAATCCAAGGTTAGATCATAAACCTGCAGAAGTGCACAAAGGCACCTCGCGTGTGTAGATACTTTCGCCTGAGCTCGTTGCGTTTGGTAGTGGTCGCACCGAACGATGTAGCCTCTCCAAACTGCCTGAAAGCGTGTCACCTGACTGCGATAGGAAGCATCACACTTACAGTAATGCACAGGAGGGACTTCAAAGGACCATGCAAGTTGCACCAGGATTACAGGATACTTCAGCCAGGTACATGTCCTCGTGTAGCGCTCCAGCTTGGAAAAACACGCTAAGGATGATTCAATGCCAGGCTAGAAATCCATCCTGTCCGCTTCTGCCTAACTTAGCCTTACACAACGCAACAAGATGAACATGACATGTATAGGTTAAATAGGAGAAGGGGGCTTGAGCGGCTGAGGCCTTTTCTTCTCAAAGGCTAACTCTAGCGTAGCCCTGGTGCCGTCCAACAAAGGTCTGCTCTCCCCAAGTCTCCTAACATCTCAGAAGCAAATGGGAAGCCAAAATCCAGATGCCTGGACTTAGCCTACTACTGAATTGCTCAGAGATTACTTAAGCGGCCTCCTAGCATTTGCGTGGTTGTCAAAGTTATGGTCCCTTTTTGGATCCCAATTATAATACGGCAACTAATATTTAGGGTACCCAAAAAGGGATCATAATTTTGACCTCCACCCACTTAGATTCTCAGGGAAGTGGCCCGGTGGAGCATCCTCGACTGGCGCTCGTTTGCCTGGTAGCGCATGTACCAACCTAAGCAGTCCAGGGTGGAAAGTAGCTGCTGCATGGTGAAACAACAGTCTAGGAGCCAGAGCAGCTAATGAAGAAAAAGGATAATACAGTACAGGGCTTAGGATTTTTTAAAAGCTGACGGGCTTTTACGCCTGCACGAAGTGTTTGTGGTTTAGGGCTTAGGGCTTCTTGATCATAACAGTCATGACAATAGTAGCAGTAAGAGTCATCATCATGACTTCCACTTCCACTACAGAAGCACGAATGAGGAAAAGGAGACCTTAAGCTGCTACCGGTAGCACACTGCAAGATGAGCACCGTGCCCTTCAGCAGCTGCAGGTTTCTCGCCGTGTCGGTCTTGGCTTTGCGCACATCCCACCTTATCACACATGGCTCAAGACGATCCCGTTACTTCGAATAAATGCAATTCAAGTGTTACCTACTCCATAAGTCTCAGTACCATACATACACACTGCCGACCAGAGTGGCTTGCAGATTTCAGACTTCTGGCATCTGTCTTGTCGAGAAGCAACGTCCACCCCTCGTGTATCAACCCACTCTCCCCAGTGCCCTAGTGGTGATTATGATTGGGATCCTCTCTTTGGGTCCTTATGGACCAAGATTTCTCAACTGGAGTCTACTGGGGTCCTCGCATCCGCTTGCTCTTCTGGATGATTTTTGCAGCCTGTGTTGACGAGGCATGCCAAATTCTGCAGCCGTTTACATCTGCCACGCTCAAAATCTCTCAAGTCATTTAGACAAGAAGCCACCTACTCCTGGTAGGTGGGATTTGACTCATGGCTCAGGTGCTATCTTAATTTCAGACAGAAGACCCGCAGCTCTTGCTTGATGCGCTTTCGTGTAATGGCACCACGGATGTTCTTCTGCAGCAGAGCGATTGCTTTCTGCTCGTGCGCCTTCGACCTAGGACATGTGAAAGCTGGCACAACACTCCCATCATCAGCACTGTTTCCCTGGCAAACTATGAAGCTGCGCAGGGTTGAGTCCAGAAAGGCAGGGGCATGATGTGCGAAGGATCATCTGCAATCACATCGTTGCGGAAGTTGTAGTAGTAGCCTGGCCCACAGTACTTCTCCACCCGCACCGGCACTAGCACATTTCAGCTGCTGGTACTGGCTGCTACTGACTTGCGCTCCTACTACTACGGCGGACCGCTCTTGTCCAACTGTTCATGCTCTACTCCTAATCCAACCAGCTTAGGCAGGTGCATACTTACTGCAAATAAATTCGATCATCATCCGTGCTATGGCTGTCAAACCTGGCCTCTCAACTCTTGCTCCTACTAGCAGTTCAGCTTTCACGATTTTCCTGCTATCGCCAATTCTGTGACTTGATGAACTGTTGTCTTACTGCAGATTTCAGAACTACCAGCGAACTAGCATTATGACTGCAATGCTGCATTTACCCAGGGAAATGTCACAAACAAAGGTGAGCATGATGTTGTGCAGACATCATCTAGAGATATCCGGAGCCTAAATTATAAAAACATGGTCTTGGAGGAAGTTCATCCTAGTCTCATACACACATTACAGCAAACTACTCCATAGGATTCTTCAAGCTTCTACCTTAAAAGTCTTCAAAATGAAGGGGTGTTGATTCTTGCCTTCGGCTGTCGGCGCTAGTCGCGGAGGCTTCAGGCCTTTTAAGACAAGGAGGTTTCTCAAAACAGAGGGGCTTTCTTTAGGGATCCTTTTGATTACACGAGGAGTATGGGGGTACGGACTATTCTGGATCTGCCCCTTGGTGAAGGGACTCCTTAGCAAGTGGCACATAAAGGTTGATTGAAATGAATCTGATTGTTGGGGCGCTGCTTGGGAATTTCACAAGAGAGGATCTACACTAGAATCTACACTGCATCCTACCCTAGAATCCTCAACACTAAACGCCGAAACCTGCACCTCAACCCATTGGCCTAAACCCTAAACACTCCAAGCAGCTGGAGGGAAAGGCCGAGATCCAAGCGCTTCAAGAACCAGTGCTTCTCCGGTGCTTGCAGCAGGGCTGCTTCAAAGGTGTCCGCCTTTTCCCAAAGAAAAAATCAAGCTCAAACGGCCACGTCTCAAAACAAGAATCCCTGTTGGCAGAACTGAAGGCTAAATGCAAAGTTATGTCAGCAGGTCCGGCTATGCCTGTTTTGCTGAGGGCCATGCGTGGAAAAACAGCCAGGTATCTCCACTCCTGGAACCATTCCGGTCAGACCTGCAGATCCCAATTCTAATCCTCTAAGTCGAGTCTAAGTTGTAACAAATGGCATCAAATGACTTTCTTTGCAGCGTGGACCCCTACCTTTCAAATTGAGTCCTTTTGTGCGGCTCACCTTCAGTGGAACAGAGACACAGAATGTTAGCTCTCTGCCAAGAAGCTGGTTGTCTCTCGCCAGGAACCGTCGGCGCATGGAGAAACCAACATTCAGGAGCGGCAGATGGTCGTGCATGCGTGCAGCCTGGCATTAAACACCATCTTCCATTTTCGCCCTTGCAGCACTAGGACATTCCCACAAAGCCTCGGAAGCTGTAAGGTATCTGCAGCCGGGAATGGGAGACGGCCAGTGCTTCTTCCCTCGCGCAGTCCTCAGCAATCCGACTCTGACCGTGTCTTTGGTAGAAATCGACATCGCTGCGTTGAAAGCCAGCTTGGGGCTAAGCTTGTGCGATGAGAGGAAGCAAGTGGCGCAGAAGTAGTCTGTACCTTCACACGCTAGACAACAGTCCAGCCGTGTGACTAGTGCTCACCAGATTCCCAAAGTGGGGCTTGGTGGCCAGAAATCGGAACCAAGCTGCGAAACTCCTGAATGGCTATCGGACACCCAAAAAACGCTGGTCCAAACCAAAGCCCCTTGAAATTTCAAGTTTGCGTGCAAAACTGGCTGAGGTGACACTGCTGACACCAGACGATCGCGTCCGGAATACCACACCTGCCAAGCGACTCTGAACATGAGGGCATGGAAGGCAGGGCTGCCCTCAGGCTTCACGCGTTGCATCGGCTCGCATGTTCACACAGTTGGGGTTGGCTCTGTGAGGTACCTACACGGGCAGCAAACGTGGCCGGCAGTGCTCGCTGCACTTCATCTGCACAAACCCGCGGTACCTTGGAAAACAGAAGTATAAGGGCCGAAGACCGCGTCTGACTTCAGACAACTCGACTTGCTCCACGTTATAGTCTAACCGCGCCAACAGCTCAACCCCCACATCCCTACACTAAAGCTGCCAACTTTGACTTGGTATGATTGCATTACTGCTTTTCTATTTGGTCTGCTCTAGTACGTGAGTACACGAAACACCCAAGGAACAGCTCGTCCCAGCGCGGAGGCAAGGCCAACATATAGCGGGCGGTTCAGGTGGCATAATCATCCACTTGCAAAAGATTGTCAACAATGAGAGCATGCGAAGATGCACAGGATCCTACAGATGTGACACGGCTCTGAGGACTGACGCGGGTGGGTGGACTATGGGCCCCTCGGGCCCTCTGCAAAATACCTCCATTTCAGGCTTCGAACACCAAGAAACATGATTCTTAAGTAACAAGAATTTATTTGTGTTGTTCTGGCATCAGTCCTTTCTCTCCGCGTCTTTCCTTGCTTCTTTGTCTGTTTGTTTGTTTGTTTGTCTGTCTGTCTGTTTGTCTGTCTGTCTGTCTGTCTGTTTGTTTGTTTGTTTCGTGCCTCCCTCTGCTACCATGTCTTCCTTTTTCTGCTAATGTTTTTCACTTCGCGTTGATTGATAAGGGTCAATGATGCCCCGCATGAGTGTGCCCAGTTTCTCTGGGCCGGTGGACGCCAAGGAAGCAGGAAGCTTGTCGATGTCGATTGAAATCTCCGGACACCTAAGCTCCGGACTCCCAGAGGAACTCGTTTTGTCTAGTGTCCTTCCAGACAAGCCAAAACACAAGTAACGGCAGGAGGCCATCACAAAGCAGCAAACCCGTCCTCGAGGTGCTCACGGAACCGCCTGCAAGTAGCAAGAATACACACATGCCTGCTTTCTTGAAAATAAAAAGCATCACAACATCACTTGACACAAAGCTCAAGTCTTGGCGACATGAAGAAACCGCCTGATCATCGGGTGCACAATTTGCATGCGATCCGACGGTAGGTGGACATAGAAGCGTGTGTCTTGCTTCACGATCACCTGCTTGCCAGCTGCAGCGCACCGCTGAATCAAAAAGAGGGCAGAACTAACATCGTCTGGATTGTTGACAATGCTTTCCATGCAATGCACTCAGCAGACCACCTCCCATTCGGGAGCCAAGGAATAGCGAAGCGCAAACCTTTGCAGCAGCTGCAGTCACGCAGCTCGGCAGGCTCAACTGTCACCCGCAACGACTGTGACAGCTAATGTCTGATTCTGCCTCCTAAACTTGACTCGGGCAGAAACCCAGCAGATCGGGGCCCGGCATGCAATACCAGTACAGATCGGGGTGTGGACGTACACCCAGCTGTGCAGCCATGTCCTTCACCATCTTGGGTGTGATTTGGCACCTTCAAAGCACCAGTCTGCTCCCCTTAAGTTCGAAACTCAACAGTCTGTTGCTGAGATTTCGGCTGCTTCATGTTGTCCGGTATGCCACGGGTGCGCAGAAAAACGCGCATGGCACTAAGGCCTTTCAGCTTGAACTGCCTCAGGTCAAGGCACAGCTGTGACCAGGTCCCAGGCTCAACTGACCCCTCTACCCATAACTGCCGCAGATGCACCCGTGCCTTGAGAAGTGGTAGGTCGTCAAAATCACAGTCTCAAATTGGGTCTCCATCATAACACGGCCCCTAATGTTGACAGTAGGGTGCCCAGAAGGTAGACCACAATGTTCACAACCCCTTAGTGTCTTTGGTACCCGGGTTTAAGATAGGCTCATCCCTCTCAGAGGTCGGCTTAATTTGCGCATCCAACACATCCGGTCCAGTGTTGCCTGGCACGGAACGAATAGCAACTACCTATGGGGGTTCCATTTTGGGGGTCCCCGTAATCGGGGCGATAATATTTTGGGGGTCGAAGTTGGTACATATTAGCCATAGACTCAACTCCTATATCGCCCTTTGACGAACCCCTATATTAATCCCCTATATAAACCCTCCTTTAAGGAGTTTGAACCTATATAATCCTGAAGGGGAGCCCTTTCATCTCCTTCCAATCCCTTGGCGTCGGGGGCCTATGTTTAGAAAACCAATATGAGCAATAGTCTAAGCTCCTTAAAGGGGGTTGTATAGTATAGGGGATTCTATAGGGGACTATTACAGGGGCTATAGCATTTCAGACTAGAGATGATCTGGGTGGTTATCAAAATTATGGTCCCTTTTGGATCCCTATTATAATACGGCCCCTAATATTTAGGGTACCCAAAGAGGGACCCTAATTTTGACAACCACCCATATGAAACAGCAACTTGCAGCCAGTCGAGTCAGGGCTAGTTGGGTATAACACGACAGGTACCATCATCACACTTGTCGCCTTTCTTGGCTTGATGTACTGCAAATATATAGTCCTCCTTAAGTAGATAGAATATGGGATATATGGGGATCTTATTAAATATACCCAAAGCCGGATTCTATCTACTTAAGGGGGGCTGTAACTACCAAGATGAACAAGGCTCGCAGGACTTCCGCACCAGACATTGGGATTGGACACAAGCCCAGCCCGTCCAAACTCGCATGTGCCAACCCACAGAACCTGTGCTCCATCCACCAATCCTGTCCCCGAATCACCTTTGGATGACAGTGTTGAGAAAAAAGCATGTGCTGTGTCTTTTCCCAGGTTGCGCTAAACAGAAACATCAATTGCCTAATTTTTCAAGTCTCCACCTTCCAGCCTCCCCTCCTTCCGACCCTTCAGAAAGGACCAAAACCAATGCATGCACCATCTGTTGACGTCCTTACAGAATATCGATGCCAAAGAGTGAAAATATCCGTCCGGCAGGCCTTTCTGCTGCCGGTTGATGTCTTCAGGCAAGGCTTGGGTCTCCTCTTCTTCCCTGAGACCTCAGTTTCATTACGGGTAATGGAAGAGATCGTTCCATGTTGATGCTGCTGAAGCTGTTTGACAGTGTTCAGGCTGCCTTGTTCTGATCAATGCACAGCCTATCTCCTAAGGAAAAGCCGAGAGGGGCTGAATGATGCTGAATGTGTGAGGTAGAACTTTTGATGATGTGCCCCACACATGTATGAATGCACCAACAAAGCTTTTCAGCAACCCCAGCTGCACTTGCTAAACTAGCCTCAAAACTCAATCAAACATTGGGTCCCCCTGTTTATGGAGTCGCTGTCTCAAGGCACAGGCCGTAATCCAACATTTCATCCTTCGATATACCGGACTTCGCCCCAGCCTCAGAGGCAGCTAACAAGCCATCCACGTGCTCACTGGGATGATAGGAATTCAGATGTGATGATCGTGACGTGGCAAGGACACTCGACATACAGGCATATTCCGTGATAACTGTCACAGACAGAAGAGTAGAGAATGGCAGGTGCCACAGATTCAAACTCAAGTCTAGAAATCACATGAGAATGTCCCACCCTGCGAGGCAGCTGCCACAGTCTCTCACCCAGATTTGATAAGATCCACGATCCCAAACACAAATAGGGGTTTCAAAAGGGTGCACACTGTGGGAATCACTGATCGCATGGGAAAGCCGAAAAGAGCAGGGGTAAGGGTGAACGCCAAGAGGTTGGAGGGGGAGGCGGGCATGGGTAAGGATAAGGATAAACAAAAATTAGGGTCAGGCGTACGGTACCAGGGTAAGCATAAGGAGTTGCGGTATCGGGGAAAGGGTAGGGGTAAAGATACAAAAGCGGACAGGTACGGGTATCGGTATAAGGGAAAGGGGCAAGGTGTTGCAGCAAAGAATTCAAGATAAGGGCAGGCGGATAGTAGCAAAGTAAGGGGTACAGGGCAAGGTGTAACGATAGGGACATTCGCATTGGATCAGAAAGCCATGATAGGCTTCAGCACGAACCTGAGCGTGAAAGGCAAAGTTTGGGATAGTCACGAAATTGGGCTTCGCTTAAAGGCGCGTGAATTGAGGCTCCAACGCTTAGAACCAAATCCCTCCACACGCATTCAGGAACAGGCACAGGAAATTGTGTATGCTTGTTGCTGCAATCCAATACTCCTGTAAAACACTGTACCTGCTTTAGAGACCCTTCAAGGCTTCCTAACGCCATATGGGAAGTGTACAGAATACGATTTGAGCATGTTCCTAATCAGGCCCAGCTACTTCTTCTGCTGCTTTGTCGGCGCCCTCCTCCTGAGGCTGGTAAAGGCCCAAGGGTCGAGGATCAACAAGGTTGAGCATGAGCAAAAAATGATACCTAGCGCAGAAGACAATAGCCTCTAGGAACATATTCCAACCCATTATTGCTCCTAGGTTACAGAAGACGACTCCATCCGGCCGCCTTGGGAGCAAGTCTTCTCAAGGGGAGCCAAAAGCGGTATGAGCTGAGGAGAATAAGGTGGTAGCGCTTCCCAAAATAAGGGGACCTCAATGTAAACCCCAAAATACTATAGTCCTTCTTATGGGGACCCCAGAATTCCACCCTTCCCAAACCCTCAGATGAAAACAAAGAGATGCCAACTTACAGATCCCAACAATCACTTCCACAAAGCCCCACGCACTGCCTGTCCTCTTCCTCCTCTTCGGCATCAGAAAGGGTGTCCTTGTGAATATCGATGTACCTTCGTGCACAACTTGGTAGTCTCATGCCTCAAGACTGAGTGTCGCAAGCATTGGTACAGCCAGGATTCGCATGCAGATTAACTCAAGAAAGTCTTCCGTGTCTCAACAATACCAAATGAGATGTGACACGCTCGTTTGGGACACCGGCTTCGAGAGTTGCTGCTATTCTTGTCGAGGCTGGGAAACATATCCAGGTAACTAATCATGAGGTTTGCAGATAGGTGCGCAGGACTGCGACGTCCCCTAGCCTCGACGAAACACGAAACTGGAACCAAGGTTCAGGTGTCCACTGGGGTCCACTCGCAGGAAACGTAGCTGAACGAAACACGGGGGCAGAGGCAGGGCCAAAAGGCAATACAACAGTGCTGCGAGACGAGTCCATAACCATCCTTCTGCCCCTTGAGAAACGGAAAAGCCAGAAGTCTGGCGATTTCTCAAAAAGCCGTGCCCAGCATCATCGGATGTGCCAGTTTCTCACTGACGAACACCGAAATGCAGGCACGGGATTCAACAAGCTCACCAGGGCAGTCGCCATGACCTTTAACTTTACCATCGCCCAAAACCCAAGGCCTCACTGCCATGGTAAGCCAGCTGCTAAGCATACAACTTGCATGACTCGCGTCTTCGACGGTCTGCAAAGGAGATCAAATCAGATGCCAACGTGGCCTAGCCTGCCGGCATCTACAAACCGCAGGCGCAGCTTCTGCCAAAGTGGAACCTTGTTGCTGGAAACGGGCTGCAGGTGCAACCTCTGACATGCCTGCGGCTGCAGTACTGTAGCAACCCAATTCAAGGATATAGTCTGCGGACTCTCGAGCACCGCCCCTATTTGCCGGTTCTGCCCAGTCCAATGACAGGCAGACGCGGCGTCTCCAGCAAAATGCAAAGTGGTCTTTTCTGGTGACAAGGTAGGGACTCAGAGGACGCTTCAGAATCGGCAAGCAAGCCTCGGGGAAGCTCGTTCTGGATATCCTCAAAGATAGGGTCCACTTCTTCGCCCAAAACGCGGAAGGTGCGCTTTGGCTCAGGCTTGTCGGGCTTTGGAACGTAGCCCAGCACCTCACCCAGGCTGTTGGCCAGCACCACCTGTGTGCGCCTTCGCAAGAAGAAGCCTTAAGCCTAGACCCGATCACAATCAGCCCAATCTTACCAAGGCGGCTGTTTATGCTGCAACCCATTTCTGCCTTGTCATTGCTCTTCTTAGATTTCTTGCTGCTATTGCAGAGAGTATGCCTAAAAGATTCGCTAGCATGTAAATGTAGCGTCCGCCTTGGCCGTGGAGCCTTATTGGCGCGATTTGGAGGCGGAGTGGGGCGCATTTGCTTCGTCGACTCATTGATGTTCCTCTTGGCATCCTGCGAAAGCATGAGTAGTCCCGTCTTTGTCACTTTGTCCTTTGCTGATTGATATGACTATGAACGCTGAGTTTTCCAGACAATTACAACTACAACAGCAACTGCAACTCCAGCAATGATAAGCACGAAAACCGCAACACCGACGCAACACGATACCACGGCAACGACAACCATGACCACCCACCACCAACAGCCACCACCAACGCCACCACTGCCGCAACCACCACCGCCATCACCGCAACCAAAGCAACAGCAGCAGCTATTACAGCAGCTGCTCCTCCTGTAGCACCACTACTGCTACGATGACGATGCTGACAATGACTACGATTACTTCGAATACTACTTTGACAGCGACGACGACAACAAGGAGGAGGAGGAGGAGGAGGTGCAGGGACGGACGGATGGAGGGAGGCTTGCATGATATGCACTTTGCGGATTGCCGGGCCTGGGGGTGGTGCCAGGTTTCCATCCATATGCGGTACGACTACCATTACGACGAGAAGTCACACGACTGCTGCTGCTACTACCACCACCACCACTACTCTCTTCATGGCCGTCATCATCATCAACAGCAGAATCATCATCATGGACAGTATTCTTCATCTTGCTATGCACGCCACTTGATTGAACGGGTTGCTGATGCTCTATTTGCGGGACCGGAATGTTAAGGACACAACAGCTGTCAAGAAGGTGAACGACTGCGATCCTCTTCCATGCTCCTCAAGACTTCCAAGCTTTCAGAGATGTCGGTCCCATCACTTACGTCGGGAACAGCGACCTCTGTGTGCTTCTGTAGCATGGCATGGATGTCAGTGAGCAGGCTGCTCCAGTCACCATTGTTGTCGATAGAGAAGTTGAACGTCGCCGTCTCACCCTTGGCCGATACCACCAAAGAAACCTTCCAGGCAGTACCAGTAGAAACGAATGCGCAACATAGACAAACCTGTCAAGCTGGCGATGTCATGCACAATCATCTACACCTCTAAAGGCTTGCGTGGACGGTAAACAGTCGCATTTGTGGTACAAACAAACAAGTCCAAAACGTGGCATCGCAAGGAAAATGGTGCATGGTGGGACAGGATGATGCCTGCATGTCGGCCACAAGAAGGAACTCAAACGCCACCCAGATTGCAAAAGATCACGGGTTGGAGCCGAAACTGCGTTTTCACAAACGCACGCTCAAAAGGAACGAGAGCTCAAGCGGGTGTGGCATAATGAAGAAGAAGAATAATCATAAAAGCAGCTGTAGTAAGGTCACTTCTGTACTTAGACAAAGCGTAAGCACGGGAAATACTTTCAAGAACACAATACTCCTGAAAGGCACCTGGCTTCAGCAGAAAGACTGGGAATCGCACTGCTGAATGAAGGCCGGAATCTTCCCAAGCGAAAGCGCCTGTCGTGCGCTTCGTAGCTTTAAAACTGGCTGTCGCTGACACTTGTGAAGTCTAGCAGGGCCTGGAATGTGCTTTCGGGGAAACAGCGCAACCGCAAGGTGTAGAGGAAGTCTACATCCTGTCGAAAGCGCTGTCAAATCAGCCACCACAGCAAACGGTCTGCAGCCGCATCAATGCACGAAAGCCCAGAAAAGCAAAAGGAGCGCAACAGTGAGACAGACAATCCTCCATCTCCGTAACGCTGTCCATGCTTTTTCTAGCACACCATCCGTGAAATGGATCGATCCTTGTGGCCATGGCAAGCAACAGCACATAGCAGCAGCTTGCCCTCCTTGAACGCAGACACTCCGAGGTCATTCTAAGGCTTTGAGGCTGGCACGGCTCACCAGGGTTGGGCGTCGCGATCTTTGAGGAGTCCGGAAAGCCCCAGGCAAAGGGATGGTACATCTGGACCTGGCAAAGACACAACTTGCCTCAGGCCTTACAGGGGACAAGCTTCCCAGCATGTAAGCTAAGGTTGAGTCAGTGTTGCAACAGGCTATAGTACGGGGTGCCAAGTGAACTTATATGAAGTAATGTTTGCAATCACAGGCCTACCTCCCCCAAGGCATCTTGTAGCTGGATACGTGGCAATGAACCAGCTGAAACTGCTCCAATTGCTGAAGAGGTGATGGCAGGAAAGAAACTGGATGCTGTCTTAACTTCTCCTGGCACTAGAAACCAGACAAGGAAATAATGTAGAGCCTTCAAACCGCAAGTGGTACTGGTTGGCACAGGAAGAGCAGCCGTCTTGGAAGTGGTGATGAAGAACATGTCGGATAGTACTTGCAGCAGCAGCAGCAGCAGCAGCAGCAACAGCAGAGGGTGCAATTATTGCGATGGACACTGCGCGTCCTTACTTAATTTCAAGATGTGCGGCGGCGGCAGCAACCAAAATGGTCATAATGTGACAAGAGGAGGGATTTCAATCTCTACATGGCCTCCAAACCTGTAGGGGGAGGGGGGAGCGGGGGGCGTCAAATCAATTGCTGAAGGGGCCACCCATGCCTCCTCAGGCATTCCTTCAAGTTTTCGTATTTTGAAGCAAAACGTCAGTTTCAGGGTGGCGACCTAAGCCAGGAGATTGGTAAACGACAAAAACTGCAAAGCTCCAAGGAGCTAGCTTGTGTGATAAGCAGGCACAGGCTGCATCCACAAAGTCAATCCTCTGGTAGTAGATGCTCTCCAGCTCCCGCTGCAGCTCAAACCACAGAATGCCGTTGGAGTCCTCTGACCGAAAAATCTTGAAATGTGGAAGGGAACTGCGCTCTTTCAGGGGGGGGTCTATCTTGATGCAGTTCCTTGCATGCATCTTCGGATTGGAGGTTGATGAAATCACGAAGCATGTAAAAGATTCCTCTGCTAAACTTGCAACCTGCAGGGCGTTCACTTTGCAACTCTGATCTTGACTGGTTGTTTGGTCATGCACTTTGAGCATCGGTTCCTTACAATATAGTAATTGGAAATGCGTTGGGATCAAGCTGGTCCTTGACGTGCATGCGCAGAAACTGCTCACGCTCCTCGCGGGAGAAAGCATAAGGGAGGAAGGAAATATGTCAAAGGCACAGCACAGGCCGAATTCTTCAGGCTGATGTAGGAGCAGTTGGTGCCGTGTCTAGAAGGGCTGGAAACCAAGTCCTGCTTGTTCGTCAAGAACGTCTTGGCCAAGATGCAAGCCTTAAGAGGAAAGGTACTCAAGCTCCCTAGCCAGTTCCAATTGTCGAAAAACGGTTGGACCGAATGCTTAGATTAATACTAGGCGCCCCCGATGCATCTGCACGCTGAGGCCGAAAAAGGAAGAGACATCCATTTGTGCAGGCAAGGGAAGTTCCCCAGGAGAGGAGTTTACGCAAGCAAGCTATTCTGGGACTAGTCTGGGTTTACATATGGGGGGTGCAAAGGCTCACGTATGTTCCCCTCCTGGCAGCTCCCGGCATGAAGTTGTGCAGGATCTTGGGCCACCGCATTCGCGCCCACTTTGAATGTCTCATTGACTATGTCATTGAAACCTGTCCATCTCAACCCTTTGGCTCCCGCTGCTGCCATACCCCAGTTATATCTGAGAGTACCAACTTTCAGGGGTCCTCTCCTCAAGATCTTTGCTGAAAAGCATGTTCAATCCTGCTTCTACTTAACCCCAATATAACCCATAATACTCCTAGTTTCCATTTCATTTCCATTTGATTCTCCATTATTGGAGTATCATCCTTATATAATCCCATATAACCCAGAGCTCATGTTGAGCAATGCCAAGGTCATCAAGGCACAACAGGCCTGGGCGGAACATCTGCGACCACTTCGACCCGCTCTTTGCAGACTCTTCCAAAGCCATCCCTGCAAGAAGGTTCCGGGTTCGGGGCTAAAAAGTTGCCGGAGTACCTGTTACCCTCTGATGACAAGATCGTCAGTTGAATTATGCAATGTACATGCTTGAGGGACATTGCACGAATTCGGTTTGTCTCTGCATGCCAAGTCGGCAAACAACAAATTGTAACATAACCGCACGTCTCAGCAAATCACTCTAACATGAGAAATATAAAATTATGTAACGTCAGCGACACCAGGAGCATGCCACTAATCTAATCAACACTCCCCAAACTCAGGCACCAAAGCGTCACGCTGGAAACATTACATGTTGACCCAAACAAAGGAGCCCAAAGCAGAGGCACAGACTGAAGTGCGGCGGCTCCATGCCATGGGCCATGCGAATCGTCGCTGCCCGAACCCGCGGATCCTGAGGCCACATTGGATTTAGGGTTTCAAGTAGGGTCTGTATTAGGGTTTAGGGTTCAGGGTTTAGTGTCTACAGTGTTCAGGTCCGGAGTTGAATGCGGTTTTGTGCAAGTTTCCGTTGCAACTTTTGCCTTTTACAATCGGTTGTTATCCGGGCTTGAAGGTTGAGGTTTTCAAGTATAGCTTCCAGAAACAGGGAGCTGACCAAACTGTCACACATGTTGAACCGCGGTATGCGCAAGCACACCCAAAAATCTGTTTCATCCTGTTGTAGAAACTCCCCTTGCTGTTTCTTGCAGGGTTTAGGGTGTTTCCAGGGAACAACTACACTCATGGCCTCGGTGTAGAGCTGCTTGTGGAAGACTGGGACCTGAGCCAGAATGCAGGATCTTTATTTTACTTACTGGTTCTTGGTAAGGAATAGGGAATATAGTCCCTACAATGTCCCGCTATGGCATATTCCCTTTTTCCCTACTCTGCGCGAGTAAGTTTGGTTGAGATCTTTTCTTTCATGTCCATTCTATGCGAGCCATACCATGCTAAGCTTAGGGAAAGAGGGGATCCGACTGTCGAAGAAACGCCCATGTTTGGAAGTTGAAGTTCCAGGGCAGGACATGGAGATCTCTCAAAAGTAGGAAGGTCCCTATAATGACAATTGTCGCGTTTGGGTGTCTATACTGGGGTCCGCCTGTCCAGGGAAAACCCCTAAACCCTAAACCTCGGTCCCACTATGTAGGGAAATTACCACGTCAGATGAGCTATAGTCAATCTTTCGTACAAAATTAATTAGCCATGGGTTCCTTATTGACTATGCCAGGGACTATACTAAACTACAGGAAGCACCCGTATGTCCACCATTACGGACCCTTACTTCGCCGATTGACAATACAAAACCCAAAGTAACCCTATATTACCCTATATAACCCTATATTACCCTATATTATATATAGCTCAAATGTCCCAGGAGTGACTAAGGATGTCCTGGAAACCAAGATCCTAACACCGATTCAAAGACTCAAACTGGCCAAAGTATTAAAGCTTACAAATAGTTATCAGAATAGTACTGATACTAGTGAAAAATGTATGAGCAATAATAATAGTACGAACAATAATAGTAACAATCGGAGTAGGAATAGTAGTACATGATAACCATGGAAATGATGATAGTAATACTAGTTTGCCTGGGCATGAGGCACCAAGCAACCCACCTTGATTTTCCTGTTCACGATGTCTGGAAGGGTGGAAACACGCCGCAGGTACTGCTGCCTCAGTTTGTTCACGTGGAATGCCGGAACGTTATAATCAGTGAGAGACACATCTTCCTTGGCGTCCAGACTGAAGGTTCATCGGCAGGTTGCGACGCACGAAGTCTCTGTCCTGAGATAACACATATTGCGAATGGAGTCAAAGGACTCGCAAGCTATGACCGCGCAGCTCCTTCTTGATCGCAAGCTGTGTGTCAGGTGTCCTGAGCAGTGACAACAGCATGCAAACTGCATGCGACATTCACAGGCAAACGGCCACTGTAAGCTTCACACGATACACCGGATTCACCGCCCCTTCCGACAGCGTCCAGCGTAGTCTGCCACACAGGAGGTTGAGCTGCAGTTTTGGAGCAACGGACTCGTAGATGCTCCTTTGTCTTCGAGCTCTAAGCTTTGGGGTTCAGACCTTTGGCCTGAAACTTGCTTATTCAAAGCCTCAGGTTTTTGATTTGACTCTTTGAGGATCTTAGAGGTTAAAGCATGTGACATATGATGCGAGAGTTCCGCCCAAAAAGTTTCCTCCTACTGCCTCCCTTTAGACAAGACTACTAACAGCTACCTTCTACACTCTACAAGTAGCAAAGCCCTCAAACTAAAGTTCAAAGAGTCTGCTGATAGCTCCTGTCTTGGGTGCCTGTAACCCTGCTTCTCTGCAAGAGAAGCCCTGAACCCAAAAGCCTGATAGTGCTTCTCATGTTCGACCCCAAACAGCAATTGAAGGCAAACCTCTTCTGGGCCTGGCGTGCTCGAAGCTCCGCTTCCACTTCGTGGCGCGCAGCGGCCACATCGTCAGGCTCTGCTTCGGGCCTGGACATGATCGGTTCGGAGTTTAGACGGTTTGAGGGTTCAGAAGTTTAAGGGCTCACATGTCAAATGGTTTGAGGTTAAAGGTTTGGAGGGTTAGGCGGGGCATACGGTGGTTTCTCACACGGGGTACCTGCTCTAGAATCGTATAGGGACTTAGGGGTAACATTTGGAAGCTGCAATGTGGGCACTTCTCAAAATTCTCAAGTTTGAGATCCCATGTACACCCCCTAAACAAAAATTGTCTTGGACTTCGTTATGAGCACCCACAAAGCGTGACTGAATTAGAATTGTGCTTCCAAGATTTGGATTTTTTTGTGGCAACCCAAACCTACCAACCAATACTACACGAAATCAAAGTTTCCAAAAGGGCATCGCGGATATGTATGGGGAGCTCAAACATCAGCCTAAAAACACAGACTGGTCGATGTGAAGAATTGTCCTAGCACGCTGCTTCTGAACTCATTTGGCCCTACACATTGCGCTTGACTTGCAGTACAGCTGCTCGATGCATTAAGGCATTCAACACCAGTCATAGACGCAGATAGTAATGATAATAATACCCACGAATAGTAACAATAGTAATAGCGGTAGCAAGAGAGTTAATGATAGTGTTTAGGCTTTAGGGATGACAGTGTCACAAGCTCCTGGCGCACCAGCAGTGAGTGCTGGAAAGCTCGATGGCCTCAGATCAATTTCATGTATTATTTTTGGCATGGGACGTCAACATTGTTGCCACGCTGTAGTGCCTGGAACAAGTACAAGCATCACAGTCATGGCAAGTAGAAACAATCTTCAGGCATCAGCTGCGTCAGCTCATACGATGTGGCAATCTGCCTCAAGGAAAAAGACGCTGCAAAGTAAAGCAGGAAAAGCTGCTCCAGCAGGCAATAGTGCAGGAGCTACCAAGGCCGTGGCGGCTCAGCTGAGAGCGCGGGATAGCCACCCTGGTGGCAGTAGCTACAAAGCAAGCCCCAATATACTATAGTAGTTTCCATTTTGTTTTCCATTCTCCCAATATAACCACAATATACTAAACCCTAAACCCTAAATAATAGTTTCCATATTATTTTTCCATTCTCCCAATATTACCCCAATATACTGCATCAGTAAAATCACAAGCATTCAAAACGACCACGGCTGCAGCCAAACGAGAATTACTAATGTAAAACCTGGACTGAATTTGTAGTATATCCCTTAGTAGGTCCCCCAAAACCCCATATACCCCTATAGGTGCCCCCAAACCTAGATTGAGTCCGTAGCTAATGTAAACTTGCAGGAGCGGCCAAGCTGGTGAGTTGGGCCCACTGCCTGTCAGCCTGAAACCACACAGCGCTTCAGGGGCAGAACTATGCAGAACTACTATATATAGTATAATGGAAACTACTATAGTACATTGGGATTATATTTTTATGATGGAAAACAAAATGGAAACTACTATCGTATATTGGGGTTCTGACTGCAGAAATTGTGATGAGCAGTACACCTACCATGTCAATGGCCCTGTGATCAGCACGGCCCTGAAGAAATCTGCACCCATTTTCTTCTGGAGAGACTTTTGGCTTCAGCATGCACAAGAACCATCCCGGTCCTCTGCAGCTCGAGACGCTCCTCCGCTGGCAACCTCCGCAGCAAAGCCCAGAGAAAGCAATGTACATGTGTGCACACATGCAACGTTTATGATCTCCTGTACCTGTCAAAGAGCGAGAGCGTGTATCATGCCATAGGTATATATACATTCACGTACTGACACGCACAGCATGGGCCAATCAGAAACATATGTAGGTATCTTTCTAATTGGAACGAGTATGCTTCACGAACACAAGTTGCCACACAGTCACAGCTGTCGCTCCAAGATTCCAGCAGATTCCTTTGTCATTGCCTGACATCAGAAAGACAAGCTAACGTGCAAATGCAGCCACCGGCCATCGAGACCCGAAGTCTCAGACCATGACTTGCGGAGGCAGTGGGATCTCCAACTCTTCACCTGGCATCGCGCCCTCTGGGACGGCCACGATCACCTCCTGCAGATGACAAGGGTCTTTATCACTTGCATCTTTGCCCTTTTTGCTGAAGCTGGGATCTGTAGACACTTCTACGACCACCACCACCACCGCCGCCACCCTGCAAACGTTACTCCCTCTTCTTTTTCCCGCTACTATCTCTATTCCTTCCCCTTTCGGGGAAGCTCCCTAAACTCAAAACCCGCAGCAGTGGCCTGGCCACTTGGGGCGGTGAAGGAAAGCTCGTCCCCAGGTTGCGAGCCCTCGGGGATGGTAACGATCATCGTGTCCACCGGCGGAACGGCCTTCCCATGCGCTGTTTCGGACTTTTGAAGGGCGAAATACGAGTAATACGGAGCTTTAGGAGGACTAGACAGGCCCTGGCAACAATAACAGGGTCATCAAGTGTGTCTGCTATATGCTACATTCAAAATCGTACCGAAAGCTACAAAGTGATCATCTCCATGACTATAACTCATGACCACTCTCTTCGCATCCTTTAAAACTCTCCGCTCTGTGACCGCCCTGAGCACTTTTTGCGCCCCTGACACGCTCACTGTCAAGAACGCCACCTGACAGGGATGTGAAGGGTGGAACTTGATACCAGGCAAGACAAGAATTGCTACCACACTGTTTGAAACTTGAACAGCACAGCTCAACCGCACACCTTTGCAGCGTTCTGGCAGCATAGCTTCCAGGCACCTCAACAGGAGCTGCTTCAGAGAGCTGCTTTTCTGAGCGGGACAGAGAATCATCGCACCAAACGTGCGGGTCTGCTGAGAGTACATGGTCCTTTTCATAGCAAAGTGCTACACTTCCTTGTATCCAGAACTGACCGTACAACCAGAACTGGACTCTAGACGCTGCACGCTAACAGCCTTTGATGATCTGCCCAATGCTGGTCCACCAGCACATAGAGCTCTTCCGCCTGCAGTATCCCAGTATCCCAGCGTGCTCTCTGTCATTGCTTTTGTAAACTTGACATGCCCCAGCCGACTATTGGGGCCCCATGCAAGGACTATGTTTACATAGGGGAATGTTGGTGGCGGACAAATTCCCCATGGCAGCGCTTCCGTGCTTCCTACAGGGACCAGATTAGCTAGCGGCACCTCCTCCGCCGTGTCTGCTTGCTTGGCCTCCAACTCCATGTGAATCGCAAGATGCCTGATTGGGCAATTTGAACCCAGAAATCTGCAATTCGGATCCTAAACCCTAAACCCTAAATAGTAGCTTCCATTTTCTTCTCCATTATCCCTATATAACCCCCATATTACCCCAAAAACCCAAGATGTCTCAGCTTTGTGCTTCAAATAGGTCCAGACTCAAAAAAGCTTCAGGATGCTGTTCTTGGGTCCTGAGTAAAGTCTTGGGATGGCCCAAGCCTCAGCCCTGAGACCAAACTCCATAAAAGCATGCAAGCTGCTGCTTCCAGCGACCGGACAGTCCATGTGCAGGATGTGCACCTGCAAACCTCAGTGCCCTCTCCTGCTCAGGCTTACTGAACATCAGGAGGAGGAATTGCTGCATTGCAGTTCTTGCCTCTTGCATGCTTGAACTAGAGTACTGCGCTCACCGTCCATACCCTGAAGTGATGCTCCAAACTGACAGCTGCAGAAGTTGAGACAAAAATACCTTTGAAGAACGTATGTTTGTCGTTTCAGGATCATACAACACCGCCTAAGCTGCATCCGAAACCACTGCTCCATTGTCATTCTTGGCTTCAATCAACTTCTGGATGACCGTAGCGCTTGCCAAGCAGCTCCTCCATCTTTGCCCAAGCAGCAAACAGCCTGGTAAGCATCCCTAGATGTCGGTAGGCATCCTCATTGAAAAAAATGGGGCTCTTACAAATTCTGGCTTCATTTGCGGAGTCCTTGCTCTACCCATAACAACTCTTTTGTCGGAGAAAACTTGCCAGCTGAGGGAATGGCCGCTTCGCTGCGTACTATGACTCTGGGGCTTCTAGGGCTTGGGTTTGGGATGAACCCCAACTTGCCTCTAGTCAATCAAGTCTACGAACGATGTGAGCCACAGCGACAAAATAAAGGTTCAAACATGAATGTGGCATACTGCTGGGAGTAACTCGAATAATTTTCTGTCTCAGAACACGTGCCTGGAAAGAATAGGCCCTGGCCCCGTAATCCTAATGCTTCCGAAAGTTTCCACAACAAAAGGGTTGAGCTGAAGCAGCAACGGAACAAAAGTTAAAACGGGGAATAGCATTGCAAAGCTGTCTTTTGGCGAACCTCCCGACCTTAGCCTACAGGACCAGAAGCTATCTCATGTCAGCCAAGTGACGCTTCAGGCATGGCCTCTCAGAAGCTCCGTGAAAAAGTGCACATGAATAGCACAGGCACATGTCAAGACCTGTTGACTGGAGAAAACCGCAAGCTTCCTGTATTCGTCATGTTTGCACACTACCGCACATAGACCTGGAGACCTCCCTGTATCTGCCAACTCAAGCCTGGCTCCTATAATGCTATTCAACACATGCAAGTTGTTGTCCAGTCTGTTGCCATGGCGGGAAAGCTGAAATCGGCTGGTCTGCTGTGGAGGAATCTATTCTACTTTGCTTCTCAGCAACTACAGGTGCACAATGAGAACAGGACCACCCACTGGTTTTGAAATACTAGATAATGCCCCTCTGGCAATCCTGGAGACATTCCATTGGGTAACCCTGAAACGACACCATGTGATCACAGCGCAGGGGACCTCGAGAAGCTTCTCCCCCTCCTGACAAGCTGCAAACATGACAATTATGTATCAGCATGCATTTGCTTCCCTTTCAGATGGGGTTGCTTCCAGCACCTGATAGCCTAAATTCAGGACTTTCGGGTTCCCTACCCAGAGCCTCTGAACTGCCCGTGCTCAGCTTCAGGGACCTTAATCGATCTCCTCCTCCCGCTGCAGCCACTCCACAGCGCTAGCATGATGGCCGCGGCAGGAAGAGCATGGAAGGAGCTCCTCAAAACACAGATGAAGTAGCAAAAACAAACATTGATGATGCGCATAGAGGCCTTGCACGCCGAACTGCTAATCGTAAATCAGAAGCAGTCGGAATAGTAGTGGTGGTAGTAGTAGTCGTAGTAGTTGCAACTGCAGCAGGACTTCTTGTAGTAGTAGCAGCAGCAGTAGCAGCAGTGGTGGTAGCGACGGTAGCAATTCGAATTCTAGTGGTAATGGTGGTTTCTGTTGTTGCTGCTGCCGCCGCCTAATTTAATGTAACTATTCTTAATTGTTCTTCTTGTTGCTGTTGTACTGGTAGTAGCATGCCTGCCGATCTCAGAGCAGCTCAAGCAGTGTTCAGTTGCAAATTGTTGCTGTTGTGGTTGATGTTTAAGACGAGCTCCAGGCCACAATTTCCTCAGCTCCACCTACCTCACGCGATTGCTGTTTTCGGTTCTGCTTGGGCGTACGCACGCCCGGAAAAAGTCGAAAAAAAGTTGTGTAGGCTTTGTTGGATGATGGGGTCCAGGATGTCATTGAATGTTACCAGAGTGGTATCAGTGTCAATGGTCAGGACACAATAAGGCCAGTCATCCTTTGCTGTAAAGGGGAATAGCCAGCTGTAGCGAAAGCTAATGCCGTCGTCGTTGTTGTGGTTATTGCTGCTTTGATAGCTACTACATGCTACTACTGTTCTTGCAGTTATTGTAGCTGTTGTGAACAGATAGTCTTCTCACCTCAGCGTAAGGTATCCAAAAGAAATAGCTACGAAGTTCCGCAAAAAAGTACATGCCAGAACAAGATGCAAGCGAAACAAGCTCGAGCAAGCGCTCAAACAAGAGCAAAAGCTTGAAAAGCTGCAGCGCAGATGAGAATTCCGTGAGCGAACAACTCCTCCACCACCGTTCTGGCCAGGCAAACCCCAGCACAACTAGACCTGAGCTTTGTGCATGTGGGGGTTTTTCCCAAAAATTACGAGTACCTACAGTAATGGAGAATCAAATTGAAGAGAAAATGGAAACTGAAATGGAAACTAGGATTTATAGGGGATTATAGGGATTAGGGTTCCCCAAAATTAGGGGTACGTTTTGGGGGGTCCCAATAATAAGGATTCTAGTATTGGGGGCCTGTATTGGGCTACCATTTGACCATGAATGCAGGCTCGTTGTCCACTCGTTGGTTGGGTTTGAAAGATCTGAATCTGATGTGGAGAAATCCTTTGAAGTAATCCTGATATCAGGCATGTCCAGTATGGTCACGTAGATGACGGCAGCCGCAGCTTTCAACTCTTTGGCTGCTTCGGCCAACACGAACCCAGCATCAAAGCAACCACAGAACCGACCTAATCCATATTCGACTCCCAAACCTGCATCAGGTGGCAAAGCATTATTTCACAAATCGAGGAAATCTACACAGGGGCAAGTTTTGGTCTAGGAACCAGACTATGGAGACCCGCGTTACGCAAATGACAGAAATGCACTAGATACGAGGAGACTGCATCTTCAAACCAGAGGCCAAAGTCTCTCAATGGAAAAAAACCAAAAAATTGTCTTCGAATGCTGAAGCAGCCCTGAAGGCCGTCAACCATCTCTCCACGCCACTCTAGTTGCGGGTCGTCAGACTGTGGTCTCTCTTTGGAGTTAATACTACGATAGATTTTTGAGATATAAATCGACAAGAAAGGACACGCGGGAGTTTCCCAAATGATCCTTACAGAAGCATCCTTTGTATACCCCATGGGGTACAGGGGTCTAAAGGACTTTGGCCCATTTTGAGGAACATCCATGTGATTCTGACCAAGGGAGGCCAGCAACTGCAGCCCAGCAGCTGAACGGTGTCTGTCCGCTCGACAGGATCCTCGCTGTGCTCCTGGACAGGGTCTGGGGGCTCCAAGTTTAGGGTTGAGTGTTTCGGGTTCAGCGCCTAGGGGTATGACTGGATGGTAGCTTCGGGAAGGTTCTCTGAGAACACTTTGTTGTTGAGTATTTCCACCTCCTTGCACTTCAACTGTCATGCCAGCTAGTACCACTGCCACTCTCAAATTGAGTGCTACCTCCAGCCACACACGCAGATCTGGCTTTGACTGAATGGACCCAGAAGGCTGGCTGCCTGAAAATATTTTACATACCACAAGAACCTTAGAGGCTCTGCTAGCTGCTTATCAGGAGACGGTGCCTAGTGCATAATGTCTATAACAAGGAACGCAGTGATGACTCACTGTATGCTTTGGCTGACGATCCACTCACTGCCGTGCACCAAACATTGACAGGTCACAGTGCCTAAACAAGGAGCTCTTCTTGGGAACAGTGGCATAGCTCTTGCAGGCCGCAAGACTACACGCAACCTTACAACTGCTCATGTGTTTCTTGCTTTCCTCCCTCCTCCGCATCAAGCCATTGAGGAGCCTGGCCCTGAAGTCCCCGACAAGCGAAGCGTCGCGTATCATCCTGGGCTTCCAAAAATGGAGCAATCTTTGGACGACTACCAAGGGATTATGGGGAGCATCATATCATTACGGAGTCTATACCTTGCTTTTCATCAGCTTGTAAGCTATCTGACCTGGCTCTGGGTAACCGGTCCTTGCCTCCGAGCCGCTGCAAATGCCACGCACCTCGAGCATTGACAGTCGAAGTCCCAACGAGTCAGTAGCAGATTCTTTCCTTGCTGCGAGGCCGAACTCGAGGAAAAAACCAAAGATAGGAGAGCTTCTTACCATGGGTGTGCCGATTGACCTTCGGGATACATTGAAATAATGAGTGGATTCTGGGGTTCCTGATGATTAGGGACTACATAGCAATCATTTTGAGATACTCTCGTATGAGACCTTCTTAGAAGGGGGTGGGTTTAAGAAAATACAGGTAGATGTTGCGAGGTCCTGGGGCTACTTTGGAATCCTGTTAAGAAATACCGACATGAGACAGCATCATAGGACCCATCCGAGGATCGTTGTGGGGTCGGACGTATGAGGTCCGAGTCGCATAGGTAGCTAGTCAGAATCTCATCGCCAGCAGCAATGGGGACAAGGCAAATCAGCTCCCCAGCGCCGTCCTTGCCAATGCAGCGCTTTCAATGTTGGGAACAGCTGCTTTGAGATGCACTGATGCATGTCTAGCATCGATGGTGGTAATGAGCCGTCGTCATAGTTCCGGTACGAGTACGAGTTCAATTAGAAGTCAAGGTTGAATCCGTTGTAGAGGTGCAACACCAGGGCACGAATAGGCAGTAGTACATGGAAGGCGCTGCCGACAGCACTAGGTAGTGAGAGGAGCAGTTCTAGCAGCAGCAGAGCAGAGGCAACAACACGAGCGACAAGAACAAGGCAGGAGAAACAGAAAGCAGCGGCCACAGCAGCCAGCAATGGTCCACATTGGAAAAAATTGCTTGAAAGGATGCTGACCCTCATCATCTCCTCGGAGGCGACGGTTGTTGCGTTGCTCGCGCAGGAGTGATTCACTTTGGAAATCGTGGGATAAACAAACTGCCAGGTGCTCTTTGGCGAGACATAGGAATTGTACCTGAAAGCATCGCAACCCACGCGTCTAGGACTAAAAATACGGCATACATTTGAAAACATGAAGCCCAATGGCGCACGACATGATAGTCATCGCATCAGCCATTGCCTCCTGTTGTGCTGATGCTATGCATATTTCGAAATGTTCCTCCGTTACAGATGGCAATTTGGGATGCTGCCTATGAAGCCTGTCATACTCTCAAAACTGAGTCCAGGACAAGGACAGGGATAGCTGACATGACCACAACTCTGAATACAGGAAGAGTACCCAGGATCTGTCAGACAAGGTGGTCCTGGTGGCCTGAACTCGCATCAGGCCAAGTGCTGGAGGCCCAGCTGCCATACGCTGCACGACGCTCCTCAGGGTGGCATCAGCAGCTGAGATGCGAAGACATGGGGACACTGCATAGACCAGAGCTGAATTCTGTCGTCTGCAACAACAACTAAAAATGCCCTGTATGTCAGCTACCTCGCGCATCTGCCAGCACGGCACGTGCTGCAAGCACCAAGAAACCGGGCTTATGCTCTGAATGCCGAAACATGCCGAAACCATCTCCAATACCAAGCACGCCTCTCCCAACGCGTCAGAAGGACCACGAAAAAGCGTGGTATGCCGAAGCTGCGTCAGCATCTGTCCGGCATCGGCGCATGCCAGCCTCAGCACGCAACACATCTATGACTATGTGGCAGCCATAAACAGCCAGCCGCAGTAGAGGGTATTTCTCTCTCACCATACGCATCAGGAATACCCCCAAAGTCAAGTGCCTTCAAAAGGGGTGAATCACAGCATGCGCACGGTGTGCAGGACGTTCAATCAGCTTACCGGATGTAAGTTAACAATATAACATGAAACCAGAGCTTTGCACGCTTCCTGCAATCCTAGCCTATTTACTCTCGTTTTATGCAGCTTGCTGGCAGCATGCGGAAGTGGCTCTTTCGAATAACATTCCACATTATATGGAGAAAAAGTTGAGGAGACTGCCCTACCCGACACGGCGCAAAAAGCGACATCGGCATCACACCTGCGTCTGAGAAGCTGATCAAAGTTTGCCTTCAAACCGTCGTCGTCCCGGTCCACAGTAGTCACCCCAAGGCCTGGCAGGCATACTGCATCAGTGAGGAATGCTAGTCCTGCGAGGTGCTCGTATGCCTATTGGTTGCGGGAGGGAAGCATGCAGGACATTGCTCTGAGCGCCCCACGTGCCACATGCTTTTCTGCATAGACCTGCATTTTCCACTCTGCCAGTCTCCCCCCCTCCCATGTGTTACTGTGCGTCTACGAGAAAGGTATCTGGTGCCTGGCCTGCTCACCGGGCTGAAAGCTTCTCGTGGCGAAGATACCTTCGCCACCCAACACTGACGGCTTGATCACCAGGCCCGTCAGCTCCATGGGACATAGGACAGGGAGATGCAGTTGGATACGCACTCTGCAAGAGGGGAGGCTTCTGGGAACGAAATGGATTTGAGCCAATATGCTCAGGTTTTGTTGCAGACGTGCATTTCGGATGCTACCACCAAAGAATACTTGCCCCCCACCCTTCACCACGAGGTTCACGTGGCCTCCCCTCTGCTTGCGCTGGCTGGTGTGGCTAAACTTGGCCTCAACCACAGTCAGAGCACCAGCTGTTGCAGTACTGCCTCTGCATAGAAGGCTATCATCATGCTCTGGGACCATGGCTGCGTTAGCTCGCTGACCTGGGCAGGTAGGCCAATTTCAGCTGAGCAAAACTATGTTGCAAACCAAAACTAAACCAAGATCCTGCTTTGGGAGCCCGGCTGCAGCTGGATTTGTTTGTCTAAGGCGCTCCATCTCTCGAAGGTACTCCTCCATAGGCCTAGGTGGAAATCTAAAACAGAAATTTGGATCCTGTCACATTTGGTTCCTGCAGCTTCTAGGGTGAGAACGCAGTGTAGTTCAGCGGGAAGAAGCCTTTGTTCTGAGGAGCTCCGACTAAATGGCCAAAGACCTCATCCAGAAATTGAGAAAGACAGCTAGATCATAACCATGGCCCATGTGAATTCTCCAAGGTTCCCGCCCATCCCGTTCCACCATCATGGAGGACCTCTACCACATTTCCAACCTTCAGAGGAAGCGGCGCTTGATTCCTGAGTACGGCTTGGGAAACAGCACACTTGCACATACCACTTTGTTGAGACACCCACGGAAATCTCCAATCAATCACCTCAGGCAAACCGCAAGAAGGGGAGACCCACAGGAGGCCGGACTAAGAAAGGCTGGAATAGCATTACGAGGTGTAGTATACCGCAACTATAGCATAACAATGTCTAAGAACCCTGCCGAAGGGTCGAAATCGTAGAGCGCGACATACCTTTGTCCTGCCCCATCACCAGGCCTCGTGATTGCCCATGCTCGAAACAGGCATGGTCTGGCATCTTATCTCTACGATCTCACATGATACCTCCACTTGCTCTCAAGACAAACATGGCAAGACGTGCCTGTCGTCGATTCCAGACCTGTCAATAAGCTGTTCAGACGTTCTACCCACTACCCACGCAGCGTGAACAAAGCCAAGCCACATAGAATCTGGTTGACTTCAAGGGCGAACCTGCTTGAAAGACAAAGAGGCATACGCGAACTGGCACCTGAGCCACCGAGTGCCCTGCTGGAAGCTGCTGCGCGCTTCAAATGCCACGCCACATGTGGCAAAGCTCCTCTCCTTCAGCTCCATGTTGTATACCGGACCCAACAGCTGCCACACTCAAGTTCAAGTGCAAGCATGAAACAAGGCACCAACTTTCAATGTCTGACGGCCATACCCAAGGCCGCCCGTCCTTCTACCGAGCCAAAGATCTGAGCAGACTGAGCTACAAGCAATTTGTAATATGTGCAGCTGACGCAAGATCTTCCAGAGTATGTATTGCGGAGCACGCGAACAGAAACATACTCCATTTTGTTCCAACATGTCAGCCAAAACGCGGTGAAGCCTGGAAGAACCACCAGCCTCAAATGCAAATGGGACCAAACGATCACAGTTGCATGCCTACACAACACATACAGGCATTGACAAGCAGAATGGCAACAACCACAGCTCGGCCAGCATCTAGCAAGCCAAATATGCTTGAAACCTGGCTGTCTTCATAAGACATAAGAAGCAAGAAAAAACAAAAAATGATAAAACGGGAAATGGAAGAAAAAACAAGAATACCGGTAGAAAAGCGTGTAATGATGTTAAGAAAAAACGGAAAAACCTAGACCACCAAAAAGACTCCAAAACACAAGGACAATGGAAATTTAGTAAGAATTTGGAAATCATGTCCGATCATGTTCCCAGTGTTATGGTTTTTCCTAATTTGTTCATGTTTTTCGTCCCACGTTGCTTCTGTAGGCTGTCCATGGCTGTCCTTATGCCTTCTGAAGAATCCCATTGAAAAACATGTTCAAAAAGAACGAAAGAACAATCATAAGAAAAACATGAGAATAGCATGTACTGATATTCATGTCTTGTATTTTTCTTGTTTTCGTATGTGTCCCCATTCTCTTACTTTCCCTATGTTTCCTGAAGTTTTCCTACTCTGTGCCATTAACCGAATTTTTCTTAATGTTTCCAGTCTTGTTTAGTACATTTGTTTCTATAAGTTTTTCTTTACGTCTCCCATTTTCCCATCAAATAATGGGAAATCGGCGAAAATCATGAAAATCTCATTCGCTTTCCAAATCAAGAATCAATGAAATCATATAAACCACTCGTCCAGGAATGTTTTCCATCCAATCACGTTCGGTATTTCATTTCATCAGCCACAACAAGGAAGCTATGCGCGCCACATTCTTTTTTATGTAGCAACGGTGAGTACTTCGGGTTTTCAATACGATCAGGGTCCACGTTTGTGGGGCCCTAGCACCGTGTGCCCACCAACAAATGGGACACAAACACGATGTGCCCATCAACAAATGGAACACACATACAAAAGAGCCTGCAGTAATCGGCCAGATGCGCTCACACCCCCAGTCACCCACAGCCGCTTGGAGGATGGCAGCACAAGCGACACACATGCGTGCTTCCCGCTCTGCGTGCGACGGGCTTGCAATAGTTCAAATTCTTACGCGTTGCCAAGAGGAACCGCGCAGACTGTGGCCGCAACATCTGCCTTCTGGATCAATCAAACAAATCAAATATATTCTCAACCGTATTTTGTGACATCAACTTAGCAGCTGCAACCGGTTTATATTCTTGATTCACCTGTTGGGCGGAGGCGTTTATCTGAACAGCTAGGCTGCCGGCTGCAGGAATGCTTGAGGCTGCTGAACATACATGCAGCATCGACCAACAGGTTTGAGGGTCCAGAGCGCCTTTCCAGATATTTATTGACGAACAACTGCCTTTCTGGCTTTATGCCGGCTGATCTGCCTTTAAGTCTCTCTTTTTGAAGGCATAGGTTTGCAGTTCCAACAAATTGTGTTGTACATTGCCGACCTCTGATGTGCCCAGTTGCTGCATCGTTTCAGTTTTTGGTTTGGTCGTTTCTTGTTTTTTCATTTTTCACTTTCTCCGTGTCTTGGCATTGATTCGACACAAACGCAGTTCTTTGGCCTGCTATCTGTCTGGATGGCGGACTCTTTTCTTGCGCCCTTGTTTTGCCCACCGGCCATTCGATTATGCACACCCCTGGCTGGTGCATTTGCAAGGTTTCTTATGGTATTCACGCTTCCAAACTAAGAATCAATTACCTCATTATCACAAGGTTTGCGCTGCAATCAGGCGACTGCCACATGGGCTTTTGGTTGACCAGCGCAAAGACCTTCAATGTCGTCACATATGATGACTTGCATCCACTCAGCAGGCGTGAACACTTGTTAAGCTCAAGCAGGATTGCGTTCAAGTTCATATAGGGGGACTTTTGCTTTCCTTGTTGGAAACAGCAGCTATCTCAGCTAAGTAAGATCCTTCCTCATAAGAGCGTCGGCATACAAATGAAAAGTGTGGACCGCTAGGTCCGTCATAATACGGGGTGGTAGTGTCTCTACCCTATCCTCAGGGATACTACATGAATCACGTAAGCTATCGCAAATCTTGACAAAACATACGCGCTCGGGGCTTCGTACGCGAAGCATGCCTGCTTACCCGCCAGTGGTCCTCCAAAATTTGAAGCCTCCATGTTAATGCTTTCCATCCTTTCGGTTCAGCCACACTTCAAAATATCCTTCCAGGCATTAGCAGTCACGTTTTTTTTCGCTTTGGTATTTAGACAGGTGGCCCTTCCTAGGCGGGGCTCGGCAGTTCGAGTTGTTTAAACTTGGGTTCAACCCAGTGGAACGGACCTCCAGTGCCGCAAGATGCTCGGGTGCAGTTTGTTAACGCCATGTGCAACGTATCAAGGATGGGGAGGACAGAAGCTACCTTAGCGCGTGCGTGATGCTTCTCTCTTCTTTAAGAACCCCCGTAAACCTCTCTTAAGGTTTTACAACCTTACTAAACACCTTTTTGCCACCTTTTTTTCTCTTTGTCGCCTTTAGGACCTAACAAGAAGACGTAAGATTTGAAAATAACCTTCCTCTCAGCTTGAGTTCTAAGGGAGGTCATAGCAGATTGCAAAGCTGTGCGCAACATTTTGAAAGCTCCTCTCTCAGTCGGAGTTTGTAAATAGGAACTAATAGCAGCCTATCTTGTTTGTGCTTCGGCGGTTCTTGCACAGTGCGGATATTTTACCTGGAGAAGGTGTGTAAGGTTCTAAATCTGATTAAGCTGAGGTCATTCTTCCTTAAGAAGTCTTTGTTTTTAAATGGAATCCAGCAAGAAACACAAACAATATCGCCCTTGACGGCGCAAACCCAAGGGTTCATGTGTCTGATGAGCTCTTGACAGCCTGCGACAGAGGACGGCGGACGTTTAAATGCTTTAGGGGGTTAGAACACAGCAGACCGTTTGCATTACTCTTTACACCGGCCGATCTCGAGATGCATCTTTGCCAGAAACCTTACAAATTTAAATCTCAATAGCCAGTTAAGAAGCCGAGTATAAGGACCCTGGAAATTACAATGGGCACTTCATGTTGATTTTGACACCTCAACACCGCGGCAAAACCTCTGCATGAATAGGATGCATGTGGATTCCTTCACGTACATCTGTCCAAAATCAGCTATCAGGGTCTAAGTTCGCTTAGGTGTGGTTCTGGCCACGTCCGCCACGGCTAGGCCTGCACGGTCACTCCATTGTGCCACTATTGATCGTCAGCAGGTGTTGCCTATTCTAGCCGATACCGCATTGGTTAGAAGCGGCGCGGTCGCTGACATTGTTGTCGATGGTCAGCTGGTTATCTCACTTGGGTGGGCACTCTCATGTGGATCTCTGCACCACTGGGCCAGTATGGTGGTGCCATCGTCATCTCCATTCTAGTGCTTACGAGCTTGACTGCGATGAGCATCTCAAGTAGAGCGTCATTGTTCACAAGTCTTGTAAGGTGCTAGATTTGGAAGGTGATTTTCCAAAGGTACCCACGTCAAATCTTGTTGAAAACGCTCGTAAACCCAAAGCCTGTAATTCCGATATTGAAAAAAACAAAGAAGGTACGTGCAAGGACAACAAACAACAAACGGACGCCATTCGCTCCGTCTACTCCTCCGATGTAAAGATCTTCTCGGATCATTCCAATTTTTCCAAACACAGATGTGCGCTGCCTCCCTACTTTTGCCGAACGTGCTGCTGGTGTACTGATGAAAATCCTGCACCAGTATGCTGCTTAACTGCGTGGCCCGTCGTGTCACTAAGTGGACGATGGAAGATGCCGCGTTGTTTAAGTTGATGGCGTTCATACAACTCCAAAGAGGATAAAACAAGGACTGCCAGTCCCCTTATTCTCACACTTTGCGTCCAGTAGGAGGCTCACCGGGTCTGTCTGGTTCGCAAGCTCCTGCACACATGCTAGGTTTGAAAGTGACTTTCTAAAATTACAGAGAGAACTTGAACATGTATAATGGACGTGATGCTTCATCAATAAGTGTACGTCAAGACCTCTGCTACTAATTAATGATAATAAGCAGGCTACTACTATTGCTGCTACCTGCCTAAGAAAGAGAAGGGAAAAACACAACCTAGGAACCTAGGTTCAAGAACCCAGATTCAAACCGAATAATTTTGCGGTAGACGACTCTGCAACTTCTGCTCCAGCCACATCCTTCCAGACCATACGCCTTAGAAGGCTGGTTGGTGTACCTGAACTTTGACTAGCGCTTGCGTAACCAACATTAGATCTCCCTTCTACAGTTTTGAGGCTATGAAGGCCTCCCAAACCTCATTATTATGGAACTTAAAGAGTAAATCCAGGTTGGAACCCAGGTTTGAAGCCAGGTTTGAAGCCAGATTGGAACTCATGTTCGCGTTCGAAACCCAGGTTTGAA